GTTTTGCGGCTATTGCTTCTCCACTCAATCGTTTAACGCATGAAAAAACTGTTTTCCATTGGACTGCTGAATGTCAGCAAGCTTTCGAAGATTTGAAATTTCGTTTGTGCTCTCCTCCAATTTTGCAATACCCAAATTTTGCAGAACCATTCCATTTGTATACAGACGCTAGTCAATCAGCTTTAGGATACGTTCTTGGTCAAGTCATACATGGGAAGGAACACGTTATTGCATATGGTGGACGTGAACTTAGCAGTGCAGAAAAACGGTACAGCACTACTGAGAGGGAAGCTCTTGCTGTTGTTAACGGGATAAAGAGGTACCAGCCTTATTTGTCCGCTAATCATTTTTATGTACATACAGATCACGGTAGCCTTTCTTGGCTTATGAATGTCAAGGATCCAACTGGTCGCTTAGCTCGTCGGGCACTACAGCTTCAGCAATATGATTTTGAAATTGTCCAGGACGCTTGAACGGTAATGCTGACGCTCTTTCTCGTCGTCTTTATGATGCTCCTTTGTCTTCTGTTGAAAAGGGTCGCATGCTTTCTGTGTCTGTTGCTGTTCTTGTTCCACCTTGCCCACCTGCAGAGTCACTCAATTTTCTGCAGCGTCAGGATAAAGATCTTGCTATGATTATTGCATATCTCGAAACTTCGCAATTGCCTTCAAGTGACACGCAAGCTCGCAATTTGCTGCTTACTATTGATTCGTATTATCTTGATGAACGAGGCCTTCTTTGCCATTGGTGGACACCTGGCAAACGCCATGTGCATTCTCTTGTCTCGCAGTTGGTGATTCCCACTTCTCTACGACACGATGTTCTCGTTGCATGTCACTATGATCCATCTGCTGGCCATTTAAGTACTGTCAAAACGTATGAGAAAGTTAGAAGTCGATATTATTGGCATGGCATGTACAAAGACTTTGAGCATTGGTGCCACTCCTGTGTCGATTGCGCCATGAAGAAAATTCCGCGCAGTGTTAAAGCGCGTCTTTTGCCTATACCAGTTGAAGGAGCTTTTGATCGCGTTGCCATGGATATTTTGGGTCCTTTTCCGGCTACACATGATGGTAATCGGTACATAATCGTGTTCTCCGATTATTATACAAGGTGGCCTGAAGCTTTTGCTTTACTATCTATCGAGGTTTCTCGAATAGCCAACCTGCTTGTCGACGAAATCCTTGCTCGTCATGGTGCTCCTCGAACTCTCTTGTCGGATAGAGGTTCCAATTTTTTAGCAGCCGTCGTTAAAGAAACTTGCAGACTAATGAACACGCGTCGCACGCATACTACAGCCTACCACCCACAAACTGATGGCTTGGTTGAGCGTTTCAACGGTACTCTCGCTGAAGGCCTTTCCATGTATGTGAGCAGTAACCAAAAAGACTGGGACAAGCATTCGCCGATGATTCTCTTCGCGTACCGTGTGTCACCACACGCAACCACCCACGAATCACCATTCTATCTGATATATGGTCGCGAGCCACGTCTCCCGATTGATGCAGCTTTATTGTTTCATTTCCGGAAAACCTTTCTTCGTCTGTGGCAGAACACCGTGCTCGGATCGTGCAGAAACTAGAAGATGCTCAGCACATTATTTCGTCAAACACGCAACTTGCTCAGCAGCGTATGAAGGAGCAGCATGATAAACGTAGTCGTCCTGTACTTTATGAAGTCGGCCAACGCGTATGGGTTTACCGCCTAAACAACGAAAAGGCTTATCAAAAAAGCTACTGCATAATTATCACGACCCATACCGTATCGTTTCGAAATTGTCTCCTGCTCACTTCAAGCTTCGCACGCTCGATAATCGTGTTGTCTCCGTACCCGTGCACGCCAATCGTTTAAAACCGTACTGCGACCCAGCTGATCGTCCGCTTGATGCTCCAGTTGAAAATTTGCGTGAGACTTCGGATTTGTGCGACTCACCGGACGGTTTTTGCTCTCCTGAGCCCGCAGAAGTCGTTAACGTGCCTCGACAATCGCCCGTCACTGTGACTTCGGAAGGGGAACCTGACATTACACGCCCAGAAGACACCTGGACACCAGATATGATTCGAAACTTTGTCCCTGACGCCAACCCGGAGGTATGATCTTATGGGGGGAGGTATGTTACGCAATGGAGGCGCGTTACGCTGGAAGTGACCTTTGACTTGACACGTTTTAATCATTTCATTTTAATGTGTTCGCTTCTTGCTGCTTTGCTGCTTATTTGGTAATTTTTAACAGTTCTGTTGATATTTGATCCTTGTCTTAATATTCATTGGTTAATTTTATGTGTATCGTCATTTTAGGACACTAATTGGACATTAGCTTAATCCGATTATACAATCATATCTAGCGTGCCAGCTTTAGGGTGGAGTCAGTCTTGAGGGGCCAGCCGCTACGAGAGCAACTTTTATAGTGAAAGAGATTTGACGTTTTTGTCGAAGTAGAGGTCCAGAAACACTTGCCGCGCCCAAGGTTCATACTCGAGTCCAAAATCCTTCAAGCATCCGCTTTAAAGCTCGCAAAGATAATCTCAAGGCCATGAGCTATGTTACTTGTTATAATTCAGTGATTTACTGTTTAATCTCTTGATGTTACTGGTTTTTTACCGAAGAACTCGCAATTCTTTAACCTTTTTCTGCTAGTTTAAGCAAAAAGGTTAATAATATAATGTTCCAAAAATGAAAATCAAAAGCGAAGGAATATGCTGAGAGTCAACACATGAACACATGGACATTGCTATGGACTAAAAAACCTTTCAGAAATGAGTAACTCCTAAAACTTTGCGCAGACAAATCAGGTTCCCAATTTTTTTGTGTAGTTATCAGCGACGAAGAAATTGTCCCCAATTCAGAATAAGAAATGGCAGCTTCGACTTTTCATGCAGCTCGAATAGGCCCTATAATAGGCCCTATAATAGGGAAATTGTATAAAGACAACAGGCCTGAATTGGCCTTAATCCACCATAATTGATAGGCTTTAAAATGTTAAATTTTACCTGCTGATAGAGTTTAATTTAAACAATTTTTTGGTGGTACAAAACTTTAGAGTGGCAATGTTTGCTTTATCAAAGCCATGTTAGTGTCTAATTTATTAACATTGATAAATAAACGATGAATTATCATTTAAAACAAAATGCGTGTGAATTTTATGGTATTTCGCAAGAGCAAAATACGTCTAAATATGAGCTACAATCGAAAACAGCCAAGAAAGAGCAAAATTGAGCGGTAGAGATCCTTTATAATAGTTGTTACAACGCATTCGTGAACTAAAGTATAGTTTTAAATGTTGTTTGTATAGACTATACACTATTTTGTTTGCCAATAGCCGATTCATTACTAAGGAAGGTGTTACCAGTCGAAATTGGTAAAAAGTTGCAATGCATGAAAATTCAAGAAACGGCTCTCGCACTATGTTTGTCTCAATAAAAGCCAATCGGCACAAGTCTTCAACTTATGAATTTTTTTTACTATTTTCTTCACAGCTCTTTGCTTTCTCATCAAGAACATCCCTGCACACAGCATCATGCTCTTCCGTGCTCATCAGATACCCACAGTCCATTAAGCATTGTCTTCAAGGCGATTCAACATCTCCTTTTTGGTTTTGGTTTTCATTTTCAACGTGAAGCCAGGGGAAACTGGTTATGCTGTAGTCAATGATTGCTTTCATAGGCGCCGAAAGGGTGTGTCTACTTGTATGGAAGTAAAGCTATTTGAAGGAAGTTGCAGAGATACAACATAAATAGAGTATCCGACATATAACGGAATATGTTTTTCTGTAATGTGGGAAAGGACCTAAGTGATAAAATCCCTAACAAAGAGAATTCTCTTTTAACATTGAAATATTTGCGTTTGTACCTATGAACCCCAAAAATGTGACAAAAGCATACAAAAACTTAAATTAAATGGCTTTGGTACAGATTTTATCTCTGTTCTTTTTCAAGGTTGGCATTGAATTATTCGCTTGCGCAGCTGTTCAACTTGTCTCTTTCAACCGGTCGCTTTCTGGACAGCTATAAAATCGCCAGTATAGCTCCTATCCACAAAAAAGTCCCAAGGATGACAGATCGAACTGTAGACCCATGTCATTTTTTTCGGCCATTTCCCGTTTGTTTGAAAAACTGGTTTATGGCCAGTTATATTCCTATTTCGATAGAAATCAACTGATATTCTGTTAGCAGTCTGGTTTCCGGAACCTTCACTCGGTATTAACATGTCTTCTTAGATGCACGAATGATTGGTACATGAACAGTGATAGGGGTGAATATACGGCCGCCCTTTTTATTGATCTCAAAGAAGGTTTGACACCGTAAATCACGAAATTTTGCTGACAAAACTAAATTTTTACGGTCTAGAAGGGACGGTATTCAATAGGTTTAAGTCTTATCTAGAAAACAGGCATCAATATTGCAAAGTAAACGGATAGGTTTCTAAAACAGAGGTGGTAGATTGCGGTGTACCACAAGGGTCATGCCTAGGACCATTTCTCTTCTTAGTGTACACCAACGATCTCCCAAATTGACTCGAAAAATCAAATGTGTCAATGTACGCCGTTTATGTAATGAATCAAGCCACTAATGCTGATTTAACAGCTTTGAAGGGTTGGCTAGAAGGCAACAAATTTTCGTTAAACGTTGCAAAAACTGAAGCAATGATAATCGGAAGCAACAAAAAGCTACGCAAGATAGACACTCCTCACGCCCATAAGCCGCAGTTTAGAATAGATTCTGAAGATGTCAAACTTGTAAGTGATGTAAAATACCTCGGAGTTCTTGTGGATCAAGAACTCAAATGGACGAATCATTTAACCAATGTCACAAAAAAATCTCCAGGTGTATTGGCATTCTTCGTTATGCACAACAAGATCTTCCGCAACGCCTGCTACAATTGAAACAATGTATAGAAGCCTAATAGAGCTCTATTTCAGATACTCAGCCTCGTATTGATGATGCTCTTGACGCTCTCGCAGGTTCTCAATTTTTTTCAACGCTAGATCTTCAATCTGGTTATCACCAGGTTGCTATGCATCCAAATTCTAAGGAGAAAACTGCCTTCATATCTCATTCAGGGTTATACGAATTCAATGTTCTCAGTTTTGGGCTAACAAATGCTCCACCTAATTTTCAGCGCTTGATGGGTAAAGTCTTACACGGGCTTGATTGGAAGATATGCTTTATCTATATCGACGATATAATAATATTTTCTTCAACATTCGATGAACATATTGAACGTTTAAACCTTGTTTTTGATCGTTTGCGCAAAGCTAATCTAAAATTAAAGCCTTCGAAATGTCGCTTTGCTAGCAGGTCGGTTGACTTTCTTGGATTTGTTGTGTCGTCAGATGGAATATTGCCTGACCCAGATAAACTCATTGCCGTAAAGTCTTTTCCAGTGCCTAAATGTGTTAAGGACGTCCGTAGTTTTCTTGGCCTATGCAACTATTACCGCCGTTTTGTTAAAGGTTTTGCGGCTATTGCTTCTCCACTCAATCGTTTAACGCATGAAAAAACTGTTTTCCATTGGACTGCTGAATGTCAGCAAGCTTTCGAAGATTTGAAATTTCGTTTGTGCTCTCCTCCAATTTTGCAATACCCAAATTTTGCAGAACCATTCCATTTGTATACAGACGCTAGTCAATCAGCTTTAGGATACGTTCTTGGTCAAGTCATACATGGGAAGGAACACGTTATTGCATATGGTGGACGTGAACTTAGCAGTGCAGAAAAACGGTACAGCACTACTGAGAGGGAAGCTCTTGCTGTTGTTAACGGGATAAAGAGGTACCAGCCTTATTTGTCCGCTAATCATTTTTATGTACATACAGATCACGGTAGCCTTTCTTGGCTTATGAATGTCAAGGATCCAACTGGTCGCTTAGCTCGTCGGGCACTACAGCTTCAGCAATATGATTTTGAAATTGTCCAGGACGCTTGAACGGTAATGCTGACGCTCTTTCTCGTCGTCTTTATGATGCTCCTTTGTCTTCTGTTGAAAAGGGTCGCATGCTTTCTGTGTCTGTTGCTGTTCTTGTTCCACCTTGCCCACCTGCAGAGTCACTCAATTTTCTGCAGCGTCAGGATAAAGATCTTGCTATGATTATTGCATATCTCGAAACTTCGCAATTGCCTTCAAGTGACACGCAAGCTCGCAATTTGCTGCTTACTATTGATTCGTATTATCTTGATGAACGAGGCCTTCTTTGCCATTGGTGGACACCTGGCAAACGCCATGTGCATTCTCTTGTCTCGCAGTTGGTGATTCCCACTTCTCTACGACACGATGTTCTCGTTGCATGTCACTATGATCCATCTGCTGGCCATTTAAGTACTGTCAAAACGTATGAGAAAGTTAGAAGTCGATATTATTGGCATGGCATGTACAAAGACTTTGAGCATTGGTGCCACTCCTGTGTCGATTGCGCCATGAAGAAAATTCCTATAATAGGCCCTATAATAGGGAAATTGTATAAAGACAACAGGCCTGAATTGGCCTTAATCCACCATAATTGATAGGCTTTAAAATGTTAAATTTTACCTGCTGATAGAGTTTAATTTAAACAATTTTTTGGTGGTACAAAACTTTAGAGTGGCAATGTTTGCTTTATCAAAGCCATGTTAGTGTCTAATTTATTAACATTGATAAATAAACGATGAATTATCATTTAAAACAAAATGCGTGTGAATTTTATGGTATTTCGCAAGAGCAAAATACGTCTAAATATGAGCTACAATCGAAAACAGCCAAGAAAGAGCAAAATTGAGCGGTAGAGATCCTTTATAATAGTTGTTACAACGCATTCGTGAACTAAAGTATAGTTTTAAATGTTGTTTGTATAGACTATACACTATTTTGTTTGCCAATAGCCGATTCATTACTAAGGAAGGTGTTACCAGTCGAAATTGGTAAAAAGTTGCAATGCATGAAAATTCAAGAAACGGCTCTCGCACTATGTTTGTCTCAATAAAAGCCAATCGGCACAAGTCTTCAACTTATGAATTTTTTTTACTATTTTCTTCACAGCTCTTTGCTTTCTCATCAAGAACATCCCTGCACACAGCATCATGCTCTTCCGTGCTCATCAGATACCCACAGTCCATTAAGCATTGTCTTCAAGGCGATTCAACATCTCCTTTTTGGTTTTGGTTTTCATTTTCAACGTGAAGCCAGGGGAAACTGGTTATGCTGTAGTCAATGATTGCTTTCATAGGCGCCGAAAGGGTGTGTCTACTTGTATGGAAGTAAAGCTATTTGAAGGAAGTTGCAGAGATACAACATAAATAGAGTATCCGACATATAACGGAATATGTTTTTCTGTAATGTGGGAAAGGACCTAAGTGATAAAATCCCTAACAAAGAGAATTCTCTTTTAACATTGAAATATTTGCGTTTGTACCTATGAACCCCAAAAATGTGACAAAAGCATACAAAAACTTAAATTAAATGGCTTTGGTACAGATTTTATCTCTGTTCTTTTTCAAGGTTGGCATTGAATTATTCGCTTGCGCAGCTGTTCAACTTGTCTCTTTCAACCGGTCGCTTTCTGGACAGCTATAAAATCGCCAGTATAGCTCCTATCCACAAAAAAGTCCCAAGGATGACAGATCGAACTGTAGACCCATGTCATTTTTTTCGGCCATTTCCCGTTTGTTTGAAAAACTGGTTTATGGCCAGTTATATTCCTATTTCGATAGAAATCAACTGATATTCTGTTAGCAGTCTGGTTTCCGGAACCTTCACTCGGTATTAACATGTCTTCTTAGATGCACGAATGATTGGTACATGAACAGTGATAGGGGTGAATATACGGCCGCCCTTTTTATTGATCTCAAAGAAGGTTTGACACCGTAAATCACGAAATTTTGCTGACAAAACTAAATTTTTACGGTCTAGAAGGGACGGTATTCAATAGGTTTAAGTCTTATCTAGAAAACAGGCATCAATATTGCAAAGTAAACGGATAGGTTTCTAAAACAGAGGTGGTAGATTGCGGTGTACCACAAGGGTCATGCCTAGGACCATTTCTCTTCTTAGTGTACACCAACGATCTCCCAAATTGACTCGAAAAATCAAATGTGTCAATGTACGCCGTTTATGTAATGAATCAAGCCACTAATGCTGATTTAACAGCTTTGAAGGGTTGGCTAGAAGGCAACAAATTTTCGTTAAACGTTGCAAAAACTGAAGCAATGATAATCGGAAGCAACAAAAAGCTACGCAAGATAGACACTCCTCACGCCCATAAGCCGCAGTTTAGAATAGATTCTGAAGATGTCAAACTTGTAAGTGATGTAAAATACCTCGGAGTTCTTGTGGATCAAGAACTCAAATGGACGAATCATTTAACCAATGTCACAAAAAAATCTCCAGGTGTATTGGCATTCTTCGTTATGCACAACAAGATCTTCCGCAACGCCTGCTACAATTGAAACAATGTATAGAAGCCTAATAGAGCTCTATTTCAGATACTGCTGCGTGTTTTGGGGTAATGCTGGTTTATCAATTATAGGAAAATTGCGAAAACTGCAAAATCAAGCGGCAAAATTGATCACTAAAACAGCCCATTCGATGCTTCGCCACTCCCAGTCGTGCACTTGGATGGTCCACAGTAAGGAAAATAATTGATCTTGAATCTGCTAGGATTGCAAACAAATGCCTGAATGGTGATGCACTGTCCTATATGATATGTTTACTAAAGTCAACAGGTTCTCTCAGAACTTCGGATTATGACCTAAGAGTCCCTCTTCTGAGAATGACCACAGGACAAAGATGCTTCTCTTACCAGTGTGCGAAACTTTAGAATGGTTTTTTCTAAAATGTCCAAAAATACGTCAACTTTAAAGAATTTTGTGAAAGCGATAAAAAATTAATAAACTGTTCACGAAAAACCAATCATACCATCCTTTTCCTTTATTATTAATGTATGTATAAGAAATTTCTTTTAACGATTGTAATTACATTATGGAATAGTTTAATTTTTTAAAGTTAATTTTAACTAAATATTTGTTTGTATATTTTAGCATGGCCCCCTGTAAATCAGTCCTCGACTGAGAGGCTACCATGGGTCAGTCCTCGACTGAGAGGCTACCAGGGGTCAGTCCTCCACTGAGAGGCTACCATGGGTCAGTCCTCGACTGAGAGGCTACCATGGGTAATAAAGATAAAATGAAGTGAAAAATGAAATGAACGGAGTATTGAATGAACGGAGCTCTGAAGATATTCAAAACTTTCAGAGTCATGTTAAATGACATTTAGTATCTTATCTTATTCTACTCCAATCAAATAAATGTGGCTATGAAAAAAGCAAGCATTTGAGTATACTGAAGTTTTTGTCTGACACTCTTTAGAGTATAAAACGTCAGATCATATATTGAAAACTCCACGCTAGGAAATATACATACCCAATTGTGGATCGAAATAGGCCAATCAGAAACGCGAGCACATGATTGTTGAAGTTGCCCAATCAGTGCCGCTTGCCTATTGAGAATGCTACCAATGGAGTCCTAAGGTGAAAACGAACTCCTTTTGTCTACAAAATAGCGGTTTTTTCGTGCTTATGTGGATAGATTCCAAACCTGCTAAATAAAACGACGATCGGGCTTTACCAATAATCCGAAACATGTCACATTATAACTTTTTTTCGCAATTCTGGGTTTTCCAGTAAATGGTGCCCGCTACAGTGGCGGTTTTTCATAAAATTTCAAGGGGGGCAACAGTGTTGAATTTTGCCGACTGCTACATGGAAAATGTTGTGGCTCATAGTAAATGGTGTGGCTCAAATTAGTTTGAGCTATTTCCAAAATGTGATGTGATGACTTTCACGGTCCAGCAAAAGCTAAACTTTCCTCTGACTGCCGTTCTTCTCAGCTAAACCTCCCACAAACTTGATGCAAACTTAGAATACCTAGTTAACTCAAAATGGACTTGATGAGATATCCCTTACTTCAGTCTTTATTTGAAATATTTTAATTCAGCCTCTTTTCTGACATGTTTGCAAAAGAGTCTATTTTTAGCAAAGAGTTATAAACCTCTAACGTTCCACGAGGCAAGCTGTTTAAACATTTTGGTTTTGACTTTTATTTTTTTTTCTCAATATCGTTTTCAGTTGAGAGAAGCTATAGCCCCTTGAGTTGTTGCTGACTAATCTTGTTCGTCTTTAGTTTTGGGAGAGACCCCTCAGCACTGGCTGCTTTAGCAAATGTATTTGATAGGCTCTATGCAGATTAGGGCCTTACACAGTCCGGTTTCATGTATGTACATTGCTTCACAACTAACTCTCCCTCTACACCTTTCTCGTTGATTTTGGAAGATTTTTTAAATACCACACAGAGTTTTGCGTTAAAATCAGGATTCTCTGACAATATATTTGACCTATCCTCCATATCGATTCTACTTTGCTTTCTGTGGAAAGGAATGCTGTTGGAAACAATGCTCCCAAATGACTGAAGTAGTAATGTCAGAATTTTTGTTGTTGAAAATTACAAAATAGCAAATGCTAGATTTTGCCGAATGGTAATTTTGTCGACTTCTGGACTCCAGGGACTGAACCCCTCGTCCCGCTAATAACCACCACTGGTCCAATAGCAAAATCGCATGTTTTAGTTGTAGTTTTAGATCTGCTACAACTAAAATTGTATTTAAATCTACATCTAAAACTACAAGTAAAACATGCGATTCTGCTATCGGGAACAATTTACTGGAATATAATCCTTGGCAACAAACATTGGAAAGCAACAACGACATTACTCTGAAAGGTGCAAGATCATTTTAAAAGCAATGTTCGTTAATTGAAATCACTCTAGATCAACCTTTTTAGCATCCAAAAGATCACCAAATCAAGTCTATATAATCCTCCTTTGTAGATTCCTCTGTCTTATCGAGATCCCCTGCAACAAGAGGACGGAAAATATTCAATCCAGAAATATAAAGGTATTATAGAATAAAAAATAAAAATCAAACTCGATAGAAAGAAAGAAAGAAGTTGTCATGAAGAAAGAAAATCCATAATTTCAATCAATTTACCTACATCAACTACCAGAAGATTTGTAAACAAAGTTTCATCCTTTAAATTTGTATTTGACAAGATTCATGTCATATAGACTGCCTTCTTACAGGCTGTAAGCTCTATCATATACGTCCTTAATTGCTCATTTATTATCATATTCATTCTATCCTATGAATTTCCATTAAGTAGAACGGAAACCAAATGTATATTAACGATCTCCTTGCTTTTTTACCTGTGATATTTCAGCTTCATTTCTGAAAATATTATGTTGCCATGACTTCCATAAATTCCAAACCAACTCATGTATGCTGCACTTGTTGTGCTTGTTGTTGGGAAAAGTGCATTTAAATTCACAAGGTGACATACATTGTACCACCAGCCTCCTTTATAGGTGTTGGCACAATTCCCACTATATTTATCGTTGTCTTGATCGTATGTTGTGAATTTCATGCCATCATGAATCGCCATGGAATCACCGGCATTACCTATAGAAAAATATATCCTTTAGATAATCAAACAGCAGGGGTGAATTTTCACCACAAACAGACTCATGCTTTCTATTTGCTAAATTTTGCCAAATAAACATAATATGATTTGTCATAGGAACGCAATTGGAGAAGTTTCTGCCGCGGAATCAACCGAAGTAGCAAAAAATTGAACTAATACGTCCTTTAGCATGTTATTTGTAAAGAAACTAATGAGTATGCATTAACCATTGTAAATAATAATCAGTAAGCCTTAAATTGGGGAGATTTCGATTACCTGAGTATCCACGTGAAAGCAGTTTGTAACCAGATGCCTCGTCACCAACTTCAAATGAAGAATACTTTGCATAATACTGAGTTGTTGGACTGTTGCGGTGTTTCATGTCGATCCGTAGAATAGCCCCTCTCCCTGGAGCAGCCAGTCTGTGCAACGTATCAAGTCCAATCCAAAAATTTCCACTCGTAACCCCAAATCCATTTTTGTATGACGCCCAGTTTCGATAAAAGTCGACACTGGCGTCTATTCTTCTTTGAAAGACGATCCAATCTTGACTGCCATATACAAAGTCACAAAAGACGTTGGCCTTCCAATTGTGATCCGGTTTAATTTCGTAGACTCCGCTTACTGTTTCTCCAGACTTTTTCACGTCTCCACAATCTAACGAGGAAAGATAGATGGTTAATGTTGTTTGGTATAACTTCTACTTCTACATCGATACTGAGCAGGACCGAGTATCGGTATAATGCTCAGAGGGCAAGAAATAATACATTAATGGATAAAAAGTGCTATAAGATGCCACTGATCAATGATTAGATTGAACATTTACATGGACGCATAGATTCATGCTTGTTAAGTGGAAACATTTCTTTGTTAACAATCATTTAACAATCGCCTGGGAGCATATATTTTTTACAATTTTGACAGAAAAACCAGCATTATAAATTGTGACACAGTAAGAAGTTTCAAAATTCCTTCACTTTGCTTCATTTCTGATAAGAACAAAGGTTGTACTAAGATATTTACTCAATTTTATGAAAAAATTTCTCATTTGCGGATCCTTAATGACCGTTAAAGTTTTGTAGCCAGACCATAACCCCGCATGAAAATGGTCAATTTGATTGCAAGAAGCATCATGAAACACAGCAACATAAGGAAAGCAAGTGATTCCCTCCTATCAGCTTATCATGTTGCCATTATAATCGTATTTTCCATTACAAAGCTGTTGTACTTTGCCCCAAATTTTACTGGAACTTTAGGACAACGATTTATTTAACCAAAAATGAAGGTTTTAAAACTGAAGATCAGACTGGTATGAGCAAGATGAATTCTGTTCATATTTTGTTTGGATTTTTCTTCATAGATATCAAGCCATTTTATAAAATTAGCACTTTAGTACATTTTGATATCGTCTTCAAACGGTGAATAATAACTAGTTACCTTGTTTCAACTTGTCACAATGTGTTCCGTAGTAAAGTGGGGCGCATATGCACTTGTACCCCTTTTCATCACATGTATCTTCGCACTTCGCGCCATTTTCGCAAGGAGATTTGATTTCACAAACAGGTCCATTCTATGATAAAAACGTAAATTTTCGCTTATCTAAGAAGAAATAGAAAAAATACGATAACAAATTTATATAATTCTGAGAAATGAAAGAACAAAAAGTTTGATCTGCCATTCTCGGTTAAATTGAAATGTCCCTGTCTGAATATTTGACATGTGGAATAGCTATTTTTATACTTTTGTGGCTTAGCTTTTTTCAAAAGAAAACTTTTAAATGTCTGTACTACGACTGCACTCACATTTATTTCCCCAGCGTCTGTTGTCATGTACACCTGCCCTTCCCTTTGCATCAACAATGGAACGCTCTCGTTGAACCTTCTTTCCAGTAGCTCACAAGTCATCGTCCCACGATTGTAATTCAGAGAGAGACACTTAGGCCAAGAAAGACATTCGAGGGTGCACTGTCGCACTGTCCTTGAAGAAATTGTTTTCATGACTGTCCCTGTGTCAGCAGTATTGTTCAGGATAATGCTGAAGTCAGCGTAGAATTTGCACGGAAGTCTTGTTAAGCAAAGACATTTGCTGGTCATCAGTAAGACAAATAGGGTTTGGCATGTTGTAAAGCTCTTTTTCATCATGATTTTCTGTACTTCTTTGATTTTTTACTGGTAACCTTTTATCTTTTTGCTTACCTTACTCTTCTTGTGTAGTGATCTTATAGAACTACAGTCTTTTCCAGGTTTTAAGGTGTTCCCTTTCAGCTAATCAATACAATGATATTACAGGTCTTATTCAAGATATATGTTGTTAGCTATCAAGCTGAAAGGCAGGTTTATTTGTTGGCTTATGTTTGGAGGCCAGAAAAAGCACCCTTGGAAAAACCGCAGCTTACCCAGTGAAATGCAAATTCAATCACTTTTACTTTCTCCTTCTGACTGCTATGCCTATACAACTACCTGCAGCAAGCATCATTTGTAGCAGGTGATGCTGTTTGGAACAACATGAAAGCATGAGATAAAAACACCAGAGATTTCCAGCATTGTAATCTTAATCAAAGTTGCTTTGAAAAAAGCAAACATTTCACAACATTCTAAAATCTTTTTCGTCTGACACTCCTCAGAGTATATAACGTACTCTTGGACTCAAGTGGTAATTTTCCTATAGGTAATTTTTAATATAATGACGACATGTTTCGGATAATTGGCAGAGCCCAATCGTCTTTCCATTTAGCAGTTTTGGAATCGATCTACAGAAACAAAAAACCGCCATTGTGTTGACTCCAGTGGTAATTTTTCTATAGGCACGCGGCACTGATTGTAGGACTATGCCGGTCTTGTGCTTGTGTTTTTCTGATTGGCCTATTTCGATCCACAGCAGGGAATATATTTTCTGTCATGTTCTTTCGGACCATTATTCTAATGTTTTATACTCTGAGGAGTGTCAGACGAAAAAGCCTACAGTATGGTGTGAAATGCTTGCATTTTTAAAGCCAGTTTCAAGTTCTGTACTGCCGAAAAATTGTTCACACATTATGAAAACATTGTTCTTTTTGCCAGTCCAGTGGAGAATGAACTTCAAAAATGCAGTGAAAACTTTTTGAGAAGACTAGGGGTTCAAAAGAGTTCTCCCGGGTGTTTTGTGCTCTGGTGTGTTTTTGACGGAGTTATTTGGTATGCCTTGTTGCTGGTCTCACTATCTAGAGCAATTCCTATTTTTTCTTTTTGGATATGTCAACCTGCTAATATTTGTTTATAATTTCTTATAACTGAATGATATTCTTAGAAAATAATTTTTGAATTAATTACCAGCCAAATCTAGCTGCCATATCTAATTCAATTAAATGAAAATTGTTTACTTTATGGAATCTCTTCTTATAAATAAAAATCTAAATTATTGTTTTTTACCAAAGGGGTTCGCTCTCATCGATTGGTTTACCTACTGGGTAGACCTGCTCCAAGTCAATTTCGTGTTCGAGAGAGAAATTTTTGTTTCGCCGAAGTCCACAGGAGGGAAATAAATACTCCTCTCTCAAGCATAAAATAGATATGGAGCATGTCTACCCACTGAGTGAACTTCTTTATTAAGAAATTCCCGCATACGTATTCCTTCAGAAATTTGTCATCTTGTTGGTCTGAATTTCCGTATCTGTATTTTTATGTATCATATGCAGTTTTAATCTAATAATCCTTGCTAGAAGTGGGATCTTATGTAAAATCAACTGAAATGAGCTAAAAGTCTTACTCGGAAGCAGTTTCCTGAGACGTTAGGGCTTGGCATTTCCTGAGACGTGTCTAGATTCTTCCCTGTCTAGATAATATTAGCTATCTCGAATTGATTTCAGCTTAAGACAACGTTTGTTTTCATGAAAAGGGAATAAAACTGGGGATGGAAGGGCAATTGTTCCCTACCTTGTGTGTTAAAAAAGCCCTGAAGATAAAAGCAGAGAGATATGTTAGAGTTGTCCATACTTTTCGCTCTTTACTGATTTGTGTTTGTATCGTGACATACCTTTTTTCCTCTAATGAACGCCACGGCTTTTATTGCAAGATCCAAATTTTGGGAGCGGCATTCAATTGAGGGCGGCGTTTAGTAGAAAATGAAAAGGGTGTTGAGTGGAAAATGACAAAAAAAGTGCGACGAGAAAAATAAAAACAGACTTTAAAAAATGTTTTTTTCCCAAAAAATTAAGACTGAAATTTTTTTTAAAATTCACAAAAGATGTGTTCACGTTGAAGGAATGTCAAGGAATGTCAATATCCCTGTCTCCATCAAAGTCTTCATCACAATGACATAACAACTTTCATAGCTTTCCAATAGTAAGCGTAAACTAATTGTTACTTCTTGTTTGGTGTGTTTTCTAATGAATGCCGCTTTTTAAGATGCGGTGTTTAAAAAAGGGCGGCGTTTATCAGAGGGTGGCTTTCATTAGAGAAAATACGGTAATCATAACCCAAAAGTTAGTTGAAATCATCCTTCACCGTTTTAAAACTGAAGGAATTATGTACAAAAAACGAGATATTTTGCAAAGTCAAGAAAAATTATCTTGTTTACCTTAGCAAAGATCTGCATCGTGTTTCGTCTCCACAAAGAGTCTAGTCCACTCGCCAAAGCTGTCGCATTGAGAAGGTCAAGGACTTGAGGAGGGAGAGCCGGAAATTTCAGGCTGTTGCTGGAGAAGTTTAACAGTAATTTATTTAGATATGACATATTACAACTGTCAGCAACAGCCTGCGCCCGGTATCGACCAAAACTTTTATGGAGTATTTTGTCAAAGTAAGTGAACTGCAGAAATGTCTTCCTCTTCTTGCATCCTCTAGAGAGCTTTGCCACATTTTTCTCGACACATCTCCTCCATTTTTCACTTAAATGTGCGTTTTTCTCTGCAGTTAGCAATGGCAGACCAGTGTCATGTTTCAACTGGTCACTCCATCGTTTGGAAGGTCTTCCCCTTGGTCTACTCTTTTTTAAGTCAGTCTGCAACGGTTTTTTTCTATCTGCATAGCTTGAGTCTTTTATACGGTTAAGGTGACCAAACCACGCCAATCCTTTCTTCTGGACGATATCAGTGATCGATCTCTCAATTTTCAGCCTTGCCTTCAGTTCTTCGTTTCGAACATGATCGTGCAATGTGATTCTTAATTCGTCCGTGTTATATTCTCTTAATTCCGTAGGCCAATTCATATAGAAGACACTTCGTTTACTTTCATATTCGAATCCAAAACACAACTGAACTAAAATTCCATAACACCCTTTAATATAACAAAGCATAACAAAACAATTGTTGCACAGGGCAACCAAAGCAAGGTTCAGCATATTACTCATAATAATAATAATAATGAAGGTTCACTTTATGACAGTCCGTCTGGTGATACCCATGTGGCCAATCTATGTTCGTTGTGCCTATAGACTGTGTTCATTTTACTCAAGCCCTAACTTTAGAGCGTAAAACTGAAGGAGCTTTTCTCCAATTCATTACATCATCCTAGAGCAAATCTTCCAACAACATCAAGACGGTTGACAAATTCATCAGAATTAATATTAGCATTTGAGTCTCCGAGCAGGGTGCAGGGTGCTTCTCTTAGGACGTTAGTTGAATTGGTATTGCAGCTTTTCGTAAAACAGATTAATTTCGACATTACTCTAACTTGAATCAGGGGCATAGACTTGAAATATGGTCAACGACCCCTCATCAAGGTATAAAGTAACTTGCAGTATCCTTTCAGAAACTAGCTGATAGTCAATCAGACATCCTGGGCCAGAACGATGGCTACTCCTTGCCCTTTGAATGTGGTCATTTCTAGAGGCTTTCAATATAGTTGTTTAACTCGAAGGCCTCTTCCATATCTTTTTTCCAGTGCGTTTCAGCAACACCAAGAATGCTAATATTCAACCTTTTCATTTCTGCAAGCAAGTTATCCTGTTTGAGATTGTGAGTGGCTTCGTATATTTGGCTAGAATGATATTCCGAGCGGTAGAAAATACTGAATAAACCAAAAGATTTGCTTCTCACAAATACAAATCATATAAAATTTAGCTTTTAAGTCTAATAGCAGTGGTCTTTCGCAAGTGCAGTGCGTTGTGTACAATGATTTGGTTGTGTACTGCAGAATGTGTATTATAGAATGTCTATTGCAGAAGCGTTGACAGCTTAATAATATTTAATCATTACAAGTCATTTTCAAGGCTGCAGCATACCATGGAGCATTCCTAACACAAGCAGCCCATAGCTAAAGCAAACAGCACGGAGCAGACCATCCATCTTGATCTAAAGGACTGCTTTATCGTTCATCCAAAATTCAGAAATATGTTTCCTTACATTTTTTTATACATGACACCCCTGCTTGAGATGCAGGCTTAGGGGAACACCTAGAAAGAAAGGGTATGACTCAAACTATTAATCTATAGCTATTTTGTAAAGCTTTTTCAGATTAAACATCTTTTGAAAATTGAAAGACCATTATATGATAATTGTAACTTTTTTACAGGGTGGACAAAGATAGGAGTGGATCAATATCCTCCAATGAACTGCAGCAAGCATTATCAAATGATAACTACAATTGTATAGTCAATGGTCTCTTTCATAGATGCTTAAGGGGTTTGTCTACTTGTATGGAAGCAAAGCTATTTAAAGTTAGTTGCAGGGATACAACATAAAAAGAGTATCCGACATGAAAAGGAACATTGAATTAAAGATATTCCGAAGTTTCAGAGTCATGCTAAACGCCATTTAGCATCTTCTTTTATTCTATCTCACCCAATCAAAAACATGTATTAAGCCATATTTTGCACTACCTTTGCTGCTGGCAACAAACATTGAAACAGCAACAACAACATTACTCTCAAGGGTGCAAGAGTTTTTAAAAGCAAGGCTCGTTAACAAAAGTCTCTCTAAATTACTCCTTTCAACATCCAAAAGATCACCAAATCAAGTCTATATAATCCATATAAATTTGCGTATTTCTTTGTCTTATCGAGATCCCCTGCAACAAGAGGACGGAAAATATTAAATTCAGAAATATAGAGGAACTTTAGTCTTCAGAATAAGATGATAAATTTTCGAAATCAAATAGTATAGTTGTTTCTATCATCATGAGTAAAGGGGTATCCATATTTTCAAATATATTGACCTTGTTCAAGCACCAGATGATTTGTAAACAAAGTTTCATCTTTTAAATTTGTATTTAGCAAAATTCATGTCATATAGATTGCCTTCTTACAGGCTGTAAGCTCTATCATATACTGCCTTAATTGCTCAGTTTAGGAAGTATATGATAGAACTCACTTACGAAACCAAATCCTCTCCTGATTCATACCTGTGATATTTGAGCTTCATTTCTGAAAATAATACGTTGCCATAACTTCCATAAGTATCAACCCAACTCATGTATGTTGCACTTGTTGTGCTTGTTGTTGGGAAAAGTCCATTTAAATTTACACGGTGACATGCATTGTACCACCAGCCTCCTTTATAGGTGTTGGCACAATTCCCATCAATATATGTATCGTTGTCTCGATCGTATGCTGTAAATTTCATGCCATCATGAGTAGCCATGGAATCACCGGCATTACCTATAGAAAAATATATCCTTTAGATAATCAAACAGCAGGGGTGAATTTTCACCACAAACAGACTCATGCTTTCTATTTGCTAAATTTTGCCAAATAAACATAATATGATTTGTCATAGGAACGCAATTGGAGAAGTTTCTGCCGCGGAATCAACCGAAGTAGCAAAAAATTGAACTAATACGTCCTTTAGCATGTTATTTGTAAAGAAACTAATGAGTATGCATTAACCATTGTAAATAATAATCAGTAAGCCTTAAATTGGGGAGATTTCGATTACCTGAGTATCCACGTGAAAGCAGTTTGTAACCAGATGCCTCGTCACCAACTTCAAATGAAGAATACTTTGCATAATACTGAGTTGTTGGACTGTTGCGGTGTTTCATGTCGATCCGTAGAATAGCCCCTCTCCCTGGAGCAGCCAGTCTGTGCAATGTATCAAGTCCAATCCAAAAATTTCCACTCGTATCCCCAAATCCATTTTTGTATGACGCCCAGTTTCGATAAAAGTCGACACTGGCATCTTTTCTTCTTTGAAATACGATCCAATCTTGACTGCCATATACAAAGTCACAAAAGACGTTGGCCTTCCAATTGTGATCCGGTTTAATTTCGTAGACTCCGCTTACTGTTTCTCCAGACTTTTTCACGTCTCCACAATCTAACGAGGAAAGATAGATGGTTAATGTTGTTTGGTATAACTTCTACTTCTACATCGATACTGAGCAGGACCGAGTATCGGTATAATGCTCAGAGGGCAAGAAATAATACATTAATGGATAAAAAGTGCTATAAGATGCCACTGATCAATGATTAGATTGAACATTTACATGGACGCATAGATTCATGCTTGTTAAGTGGAAACATTTCTTTGTTAACAATCATTTAACAATCGCCTGGGAGCATATATTTTTTACAATTTTGACAGAAAAACCAGCATTATAAATTGTGACACAGTTTCAAAATTCCTTCACTTTGCTTCATTTCTGATAAGAACAAAGGTTGTACTAAGATATTTACTCAATTTTATGAAAAAAATTCTCATTTGCGGATCCTTAATGACCGTTAAAGTTTTTTAGCCAGACCATAACCCCGCATGAAAATGGTCAATTTGATTGCAAGAAGCATCATGAAACACAGCAACATAAGGAAAGCAAGTGATTCCCTCCTATCAGCTTATCATGTTGCCATTATAATCGTATTTTCCATTACAAAGCTGTTGTACTTTGCCCCAAATTTTACTGGAACTTTAGGACAACGATTTATTTAACCAAAAATGAAGGTTTTAAAACTGAAGATCAGACTGGTATGAGCAAGATGAATTCTGTTCATATTTTGTTTGGATTTTTCTTCATAGGTGTTAAGCCACTTTGACAAATTAGCAGTTAAGTACATTTTGCAATCGTCTTCAAACGGTGAATAATAACTAGTTACCTTGTTTCAACTTTTCACAATGTGTTCCGTAGTAAAGTGGGGCGCATATGCACTTGTATCCCTTTTCATCACATGTATCTTCGCACTTCGCGCCATTTTCGCAAGGAGATTTAATCTCACAAACAGGTCCATTCTAGGATAAAAAGGTAGAGAACATGTAGCTTACCAATGAAAAAGTTGAACAAACACGGTAAGAAATTTATAGAAATCTGAGAAATTAAGGAAGAGAAAGGTTGATCTGCCATGCACGGATAAATCGAAATGTCCCTGTTTGAATATTTGACATGTGGAATAGCTATTTTTATACTTTTGTGGCTTAGCTTTTTTCAAAAGAAAACTTTTAAATGTCTGTACTACGACTGCACTCACATTTATTTCCCCATCGTCTGTTGTCATGTACACCTGCCCCTTCCTTTCCGTCAACAATGGAACGCTCTCGTTGAACCTTCTTTCCAGTAGCTCACAATTCATCGTCCCGCGATTGTAATTCAAAGAGAGACACTTAGGCCAAGAAAGACATTCGAGGGTGCACTGTCGCACAGTCCTTGAAGAAATTGTTTTCATGACTGTCCCTGTGTCAGCAGTATTGTTCAGGATAATGCTGAAGTCAGCGTAGAATTTGCACGGAAGTCTTGTTAAGCAAAGACATTTGCTGGTCATCAGTAAGACAAATAGAGTTTGGCATGTTGTAAAGCCCTTTTTCATCATGATTTTCTGTACTTCTTTGATTTTTTACTGATTGCCTTTTATCTTGTTGCTTACCTTACTCTTCTTGTGTAGTGATCTTATAGAACTACAGTGTTTTCCAGGCTTTAAGGTGTTCCCTTTCAGGAAATCAATATAATGATATTGCCTTTTGATATTACAGGTATGATTCAAGATATATGTTCATATCTATTGAACTGAAAGGCGGGTTTTCTTCTTGGCTTATGTTGGGTGGCCAGGAAAGCACCCCTAGAAAAACCGCAGTTCACGCAGTGGAATGGAAATTAAATCACTTTCGCTTTCTGACTTCAATGCCAATACCTGCAGCAACCGTCATCCTACAGCAGGTGATGCATGCTTTATGGAATAACATGATGGCATGAGTTGAAAAATAACCAGAGATTTCCGTTATTGTAATCTTAATGAAAACGGCTTTGAAAATAGCAAACATTTCACAACGAACTCAAAGTCTTCAGTATAAAATGAACTCTTGAACTTCAGTGGTAATTTTTCTATAGACTAGCGGCACTGATTGGACAACTAAGCAGGTCATGTGCTTGCATTTTTCTCACTGTTCTATTTCAATCCACATCTTGGTATATTTTTTCCCATCGTTTTCTTTCGGACATTTATTCTGACGTTTTATATTATAAGGAGTGTTAGACGAAAAATGTTATAGTATGTTTTGAAATGTTTGCTATTTTCAAAGCCATTTGCGAGTTTTGTACCGCCGAACAATTGTTTAGACATTTTAAAATGATTGTTCTTTATCGCCAATCAATCAAAATCCAGATTATTGTTTTTGGCCAAAGGAGCTTGCTCTCATCGATTGGTTTACCTACTGGGTAGACCTGCTCCAAGTCATTTCGTGCTTGAGAAAGAAATTTTTGTTTCGCCGAAGTCCACAGGAGGGAAATAAATACTCCTCTCTCAAGCATAAAATAGATATGGAGCATGTCTACCCACTGAGTGAACTTCTTCATTAAGAAATTCCCCACATAAGTATTCCTTCAAAAAATTTGTTATCTTGTTTGTCTGTATTTCTGTATCTGTATTTTTATGCATCATATGCAGTTTTAATCTAATAATCCTTGCTAGAAGTGTAAAATCAACTGAAATGAGCTAAAAGTCTTACTCGGAAGCAGTTTTCTGAGACGTTAGGGCTTGGCATTTCCTGAGACGTTTCTAGATTCTTCCCTGTCTAGATAATATTAGCTATCTCGAATTGATTTCAGCTTAAGACAACGTTTGGTTTCAAGAAAAGGGAACATAACTGGGGATGGAAGGGCAATTGTTCCCTACCTTATGTGTTAAAAAAGCCCTGAAGATAAAAGCAGAGAGATATGTTAGAGTTGTGTAAATTTTTCGTTCTTTACTTTTACTGACTTGTGTTATGATGGAACAAGTCGTTAATAATGACATAATCACGACCACAAAAGTTAATTGAAATGATCCTCCACCTTTCCTTAAAACTGAAGAAATTATGAACAAAGAACGATGTATTTTGCGAAGTCAAGAAACAGTTTTTTTATTTTACCTTCCACATTTTTTACCAAAGCTTTTCCATTTCTGACCAAGATCTGTCTCGTGTCTCGCCTCCACAAAGAGGCTAGTCCACTCGCCAAAGCCGTCGCATTGACAAGGACAAGGTGGGAGAGTCAGAAATTTCAGACTGTTGCGGGAGAAGTTTTACAGTAATTTATTGAGATATGGCATATTACAACTATCAGCAGCAGTCTGCGCCTGGTATCGACCAAAACTTTTTATGGAGTGTTTTCTCAAAGTAAGTGAACTGCTGAAACGTTGACTGCTTAATAATGTTTTATCATTACAAGTCATTTTCAAAGCCAAGAGCCAAAATGCTGCAACATAACATAACGTAATACCATACAGCATACTAAACACAAGCAGCCCAAAGCTAAAGCAAACAGGACGGACCCGACCAAAAGCTGAACAAGCTAAAGTCGCAAGATCTACTGGGGTCATAGCATGATATATTTTTTTATTGGATTTAATAATTGAATTTTAAACAACTTACTTAAATGACGTAACGTGTAATTAATTGATTTGATGAAAAAAATGTTTTGAGTGAGAGAGTGAGTGAGTGAGTGAGTGAGTGAGTGATTGAGTGAGTGAGTGAGTGAGTGAGTGAGTGAGTGAGTGAGTGAGTGAGTGAGTGAGTGAGTGAGTGAGTGAGTGAGTGAGTGAGTGAGAGTTATAATCCTCATTCGTATTTAATTTAAATTGCTTAGCCTTGATTCAGTTCTTACACTGACTGAGCCTGAGTCTCAGGATTTCAAGTAAGTTGAAGTTTAAATGCTGATGTGATGACCAGAATTTAAATAAACAAACTTGATCTGAATGACTGCTCCATCGTTCATCCAGAAACCAGAAATATGTTTTCTTAAAATTTTGTTTATACATGTGACACCCCTGGTTGAGATGCAAGCTTAGGGGAACACCTAAAGAGAAAGGGTATGAATCAAACTATTAATCTATAGCTATTTTGTAAAGCTTTTCTTGACAAAACATCTTTTGAAAATTGAAAGAGCATTGTATGATAATTGTAACTTTTTTTTACAGGGTGGACAAAGATAGGAGTGGATCAATATCCTCAAATGAACTGCAGCAAGCATTATCAAATGGTAATGACGATCATCACTTTTTTACCAAGCCTTAGACTCTAAGATCTTACCTTTTCAGGTTTCCAAGCAAATTCCTTGCAAGACATGATGCATTCCATGCAGTAAGGCTAGAATATGTCTGGTGTTCAGTGTGGGCTTAGACAAATCCTTTGACCTAGAGACAAAAAACTCCATTGCCTGGCATATCAGCAATTTTATATTAGTGTATCATTGACAAAATAGCAGAACCACCTTTTTAATCAGTCCTCTTATTGTGCAATAACAAAATGCTGAAAATATCCATTGGTGTTAAGAAAGTCATGGAATGCACCCTGGTTTACAAGTAATTGTCGCTTCTGACATTAAGAATTACCATAAGTCAAAAGTCCCAGAGAGTACCATCTGTTTATGCATTTCTGCTAACTTTTTAACAAGTTGGCAGACTTTCTCTGTGCCAACCTACAAGTATAGATGCTTTTGCCATGTATGGAGGTTATTTGGATTAAACAGAGCCAGGGAGCACTATGTCTCTATTGTTTCAAGATATGTAGGGGTTGGTACCCCAAAAGTTTTCTAAGATTTGATATTTCCAACCATAATATACTCATTCTGTATTATTTAATTTATCAAGAAAATAATAATGCTGCAACAATCAATTCTGTATGCTTTACCTCTGTATTTACAGCTGTAGTAGATGGGACAATTTTCAGTGCTAGTACTGAGATTTAAGCTTAGTTTATTCTGGTTATCATTTCTCAGATGTTCCTCAACACATCAAGCTTCCTTTAACACCCTTGGAAAATACGTACTAGCTTGCATGCTGTACAATATGATGGCCAATAATTAAGAATTTAAGTCAAATTGTACTAGAAATATTAATAATCTATTATTTATTCCTAGTACAGTTTTACTCAAATTCTTAGTTATTGGAAAATGTACTTAGTTTAACTGAAATATATATAACCTACTCTGAAGAGGTTGCAGACAAACATTGGGTTTGATCTTAATTTACAAGATCATCAATTTCACTGACTGTTGAAACTTTTTTCCAACTTATCAAAAAATGTTTAATCTTAACAAAACCTTTTATTTCCTTTTCCCATTAAAGTGACTGCTGCTGATTTAAATGCTTTGAAACCCGTCTTTTACTTCTTGTGATGATCATTCACTGAAAAATCAGAGGCCAAAAAATTTACAAAAAAATTTCAAAACCTCAGCTTTCTTTTATTAGAAGTCTCTGGTAAAGTAAAATGATAATTTTCAAACTTGAGGTAACTTATCAATGAAAACACAGACTGATGTTTCCGTTAATGAATTTTTCAGGCACATGGACTCCATTTAACCCAGAAACAGTACGTCTTATGATCGGTGAGTATTGCATAAAATTACTGCCAATTCTTCTGCTAAATGCTGTATTTGAGTTTTTTGGAATATTAATTTCTGTGACATCATTTGTTTCTGAGCAGTGTAAATACCATTTTGTGTGTCTCCTTTTTAGTTGTTTGTAGATAGGAACAGGTGGGTTGTCTCAGGGCTAGCTGTCTTGAAATTAATAATGGAAAATTAATTCTTTTCTGTAATGCTATTTTGACACAACTGTCTGTGTGGTTAACATATGGTAGCCAAAGGTATAGATTATGAGTTTCTTACCTACTTATGTGGCTTTTTGAAGAAAAATAGCAGACAAAATAAGTTGGTCTCCTTGTGCGTCTTTGATCATAAATTTTCCTACACACATCTTTCTACCTCCTTTCATGACTGTTCCCTTAATAAAAAATGGAGGTAGGGAAACAAATAATGTTAAAACAATATTTTAATGATCTAAAAGGCTTTTAGGAAAGAAATAAGTGACCGATTTGCCTGGACTTGTTGGGGTTTTTGTGGGTTTGAATGGCTTTTTGTGATGTAAGCAAGTGTGCTTGTTATTTATATTGTCCTTTGTCTCGAAATGATCTTGCTAATATCAGCAAAACTTCAGTATTCTGTAAAAAATTTGTTTTTGCAATCTTGGATACACTGTGAGTGTATTAACAGCTCTCTAGAACATCTACCTCCCTGTTCAACTGGTTTATAACCATTACCTCTACAATTGATAGTTTTTTTTCAATTTGCCTTGTCTTTTCAACCTTTTCTTATGTTACCAAGGAGAGACCTTCCAAGGCTTTCCAAGAATAGACAACCTATACCAATTTTAAGCCCTTTTGGAAGTTCCACTGATATTAATCACGACTTTGAACATGGTAAAGTGGCACATTTTATAATAGGTATGTTTGACAAGGATCATAATGGAACAATCAACTTCCAAGAATTTGGTGCATTGTGGAAGTATGTTACAGACTGGCAAAAGTGTTTTCGTAACTATGATAGGGACAACTCTGGTGCAATAGATAGACATGAATTGAAACAAGCCCTTTCAAGTTTTGGTATGTATTCCGATCTTTTTTATTCTTTGTTGTTGTGACCATGGTATGTGTCATATTAAGATTATGCAAAGGATTTAGAACTGGTTCAATAAAAGCTACTGAAAAGTTCCAAAAAAAGCCACTGAAAAGTTTTTTTGCATATTTTATATCTAGCTTGCCATATTTTATATTTGCATATTTTACATTTGCATATTTTATATATGCAATGTAAAGTGCATTCATAGTTCTGCCGTTTAAAGGTTGAGTTAATATAAATTTCTACCCCAACATTTGAAGAATAAAACAAAGTCATTTGAGCAAATTTCTGTAGAGTAGCTGTAGTTCTGCTGTGAAATCTTTAATCTCTGATCTGCATCTCTAGATCTAAGACTGTCTGATAAATAAATTAGTAGTTTTAAAATGGTTGCATGGTTTGGGATGTTTCAGTTAGATTACATATAGTCTGTTTTCAAATAAACCAGCTTTACAGCCATATTGACTTGCATTTCCATGTTAAGTCTTGTGTCTATAAAATCCCTGTATAGGAATAAATAGATGTTAACTTTATGATTTTTTGTATTAGGTTACCGATTGTCAGACAGATTCTACGACATACTTTTGCGAAAGTTTGACAGACGTGGGGCTGGTAGTGTCACCTTTGATGATTTCATTCAGTGCTGTGTTGTCATCCAGGTAAAAAAAATTTCCTTTTCTAGTTTTTAAACTAAGCCATTCATTTTGCTTCCAGTTTACAGAAAACGCTGCATCTTCATAACTAACTGATCAATTGGATCATATTTAGCATTTAAGTCGATCATATGTGAGTGGATTCTGCTATCGGGCAGCATTTACTAGAAAACCCATATTGTGCAAAAAACTAACATGGCGACATGTTTCGGATTACTGGTAAAGCCCGATCGTCGTTCCACCTATCAGTTTTAGAATCTATCTACATAAGCACAAAAAAACCGCTACTGTGTAGACAAAAGGAGTTCGTTTTCACATTAGGACTCCATTGGTAACATTCTCAATAAGCAAGCGGCACTGATTGGTCAACGCATACAGTCATGTGCTCATGTTTCTGATAGGCCTATTTCGATCCACAACTGGGTATATACAGTATATTTCTTAGCGTAGAGTTTTCGATCTATGTTCTGACGTTTTAAACTCTGAAGAGTGTCAGACGAAAAGCTTTAGTTTACTAAATGTTTGCTTTTTTCAAAGCCATGGATCATATTTAGTATTTGATAAGGCTTTCTTGCCTTTGAAATGCAACACTTGAATTGCAGTCAAGACTATCAAGTTTTCTTGCAAATGCTGCTGAGCATTTTTTTAGCATCTGCTTTTTACACCCCAAATATTTTTCTAGGTGATCTCCACTTAAGCTGAAAGCAACCTCATTCCAATCTCCCAGACATATTGACAACGAGAAGCCTCAACTGTACATTATATTGAATGTACACATATACTAAATTTGCATAGACTTCTAGCTTCATAATTCATAAATTAATCGTTTTAGGGACATTTTAGATTTTGCTTAGCAGATGCATTTGCTTTGGTCAATTTAAATTTAGGTAGTAAGTCAGCAGGGCTATGACAATCATCAACCTCTATTCAGCTTTTCTTGTAGGAAGGGGAGATTTCATAGGAAATGTACTGCGCAATGTATTTAAAAATCAAGCATATTTTGCAATTTCAACGCTTAGACAACTTAGGCATTTCTTTCACTTGAGGTAATTGCGTCATTCGACATTATTGGGCTCTGATTTCTACAATTGAGAATATTCTTTCAGAAGGTACCGGGTTGATAAATCTTATAAATCTGTCATTGGTCGGAAATTTGGTCCCTGAAGTTTCGAGGTAGCTGCAATCCCCACCAGCATGCAAGTTCCTAGAGTTCACAATCGCAACTAAGACAAGCTTTGATTTCCACGATACTTACAATAATACTCTCACTTTTTATGATTTTCAAATATTTGTAAACAACATAGTACCGCCAATTACCTTGAGAGGATGATTTACCAGTTCTTGAAAACTGATCTCACTCTATTTTCAGACTATTACAAACGTTTTTAAAGAGTACGATTTCCACAAATGTGGCTGGGCTCAAATTCCCTATGAACAGTTCCTATCAATCGTGTTTGGTCTCAAGGAGCAGAAATATTGGTATATCTTATTTTAGAGTGGGCGTGTGTGTGCTTGCGTGCTTTTGGTGCCATGTTAATAACTTGTTAAACTCAAAAATTCATCCTACCTGAAAGTGTTACATTGGATGAATTTCAAGCCTTGAAACTGCTGTTATTAATCATTGTTTCAAGGGGAAGAGACGAAATTTTAGCTTAGTGTACCAAGACTTTTGGCAAGCATTGTAGCTGACTAAGTGGTTACAGATTATTCTATATTACTTCGCACATGTTTTCTTTGATATGTAGATAGAGGAAGCCTTCTTCTGCTGACAATTTTTAGAGTTTTTGTTACCCAGTTTGCCATTTATTTTTGTTGCATAAAGCATAAATAACGCCTCGCTCTATGGTGAATTGATATTATCTAAATGGGTTCGGGAGGGGGGGGGGGGGGGGGGACGCGTGGCTGAATTTGCTAGTGATTGCAGTCAAATTTCTGTCATCACTTGTTATTTGATAGTCTGTTTTTTACCGGAAAAATAGCTTTAGGGTTAAGCTGACTGAATATGGTTCTCTTCCTTAATGCACCTCACGGCAAGCCCGAATTCTTGACGACGAATTGATCTTATTCTTCCCTAAAGGATCTAGAATCTTTTCGTATGACACTTTTGTGACAATTTTTTTTCAATACATTGCAGACGCTGACACAAGCCTTTCAGCAGTATGACACCAATAGAAATGGGTGGGTGCAGATGAATTATGAGCAGTTCCTGTCACTTGTATTTAGCCTTAAAAGTTAGCCACCTGGAGGATGATAACGACAAGCATGCATAGTGTTGTTGTTTAGGTGCTGGAAAAAGAACTCTCTGTAACCTCTCTGTAAAAACCTTTTTCTTATTTTGATCATAATGTATAAGTATCATTTAATTTTCTATTCAAACATCAGTTCCCACATAGCGTGGAGAGACTCGTAATGATAAGCGAATGTAATCTGGCAGTGGAGCTGGTAGGGAACTGGGTACAAACGTCAGGTATTTAGGACCTCGGACGAGCAGACTTTAAAGCCACTGGAGCAAATGTTGGATTGATGAAGAAAAGTCAGTGGTTTGAGCGATGTATTTAAGAGCCGCATTGCGCCTCATGACTGATTTGAAAGCTTTATCAAAGCAACTCTTCGCATTAATTTTCAGTCTAAATTAAAACAAAGTTGTTAGTAGGTAGACTGGCTGTAACTAGACCGTTACATTACAGCTAATGCTTTACCTGTATCAAACTTAAAATATAGACCTTTAAATATAGACCTTGTAGCATTCTTTTTAAATTTTGCAAAGCAAATTAATTGTTTCACCGACGAACATTGCTGATAATTACTTTTTATAGATTATGGGTGCTCTAAACTGGCTTTAGTTTTGACTCTAACTGTGTTATTCAAATTAAGTGTTTGCGGAACAAAGTAAGCAGAAATTATGTCTCATATCAAATCCGATTTTGGTTTTTAGGTTTTTCTCATAAGCATCTCTTTCCTGTTTTATTCTACTACGCAAGATTGAAATAGCCTCACACAGACTGATAGACTCTTTCTCAGTGGGGCAGAAGTTTCATTTGGATTGGATGCAGAATTTATATAATGCATGCGTGCGTTTTTCATGGTAGAAACGAGCCCTGTTTTTTTAAAAATCCTAATAAAAAAATCCTTGTCATGAAAAGTCAGTACATCACAATCCCTTTATTTCCCAACCAACGCCTTTTTATTATCAGCATTTATTCTCACTTTTTCGTACCGTTAGTATCAAAACATGTAAGTAATCCTCATTATTTTTATTTCCAGTCATCATCAAGATACTGTAACATTGTAAGATATCTCTGTTGCCGTAGCAACTCACTGTAGCATTACTATGAATTGGGTTGAATCAAAATTCTACTTTTTTCAATCTGAAATAATTTTTCTAATGTTTGCTGGCATACAGTGATTGCACGCGGAGCCAGTGATTGGAGTAACATTCTTGAGTATGCGCATATCGTTCTAATAACTTCAAGTGAATGTATTTTTGCATAATCTCTCTTGGAGTGGGAAACTTTTTACGTAGGACAACTCCGCCTCAAGTACCTGTTATAGCAAGTCGTCATTTTCTGGCCTTTATGAAGAAAACCGAAGTTATATTTGGAAGATTTCAAGATGCCTTAGTAGATTATAGAAAACTACAGAATGGAAAGTAATCATTAATCAATTCCCTAACCCTGCCATGTCCGTTGTAATTTTTCAACAACCCATCAAAGAAAGGCGATTCACTTTTTTCATTGGATATTTCCGTTTTGGTACCTTCACTTTAAAGACATCTGCATTTCAGAGACTTTCTTCATTGCTTGAACGGTGCTAACGTAAGGGAAGGTTGGCAAGATCTGCCGTTATTCCTAGTACTGATTTAGATGCAACAGGTATCCCGCTTAGCTCCTGATATAAATTTTGTTACTGCAGCCCTGTTTAATGGAGAGTATTAAGGGAATGAATAAATTTTCAATCGGCTTTTCAAATTTTTAGCAACACATCATTACTATTGTTGGGGCTGAGTTGCTTGATTGCAAACTCGATTCTAACCCTCAAAAAGCAGTTAAAGTTGAAAGAACAAGTTCCAACAGGAATTACGCAACTTGATTCTTTTCCTTGAAAGTACGCCAACAGTGGCAGTCGAGGTTTACAGACCAAGATAAGACCAAGTGTATCCCTGTCAAATACCCCGTTTCTAAGCTTAAAAATAATACGTATTGGTTAACATTCTTTCAACAGAAGCTAAGATACTATGCACACCAAAGCTGCCCTGGCTTGCACCCCCCTAGTAACCTTGGTTTTACCTGCTAAGCATACAGTTATTTATCATAATTTGCTATGTGTTTGGAACGGAAAAACCCTTTAAAATTTCATGCTTTTCGCGGTTTTCGTCGTTAGTAGTTTTTCTTCAATTATAAATGGAACAGGTAATGTAAATTGATAACATGTCCAAGGATTTGCAGGTTGTTCGATTTATCACAGTTATCTCTGTATTCAGATGTCTATCTTGTTTTTTTATACGCCATAGGTTGATGACTTTGTGGCATGGAGATTTCAATTTCGTGTTATATACCCATTTTTCGTTGCGGTCGTTGCCAGAAGTGACATATCTCAAAACACTAATGACAATTTGCAATCTATGCCGTAACACTGCGCTTTGTTGCTACGCTGTGATGAACTCACGGAACCCGAGTTGGATGAATCTATAGAAGACAAGCTAAGGAAAGCTGATGAACTCTATCATTGATAGGTATTTTGCTTCAGACTTTTCTGTATAAAGCTTTAGTCAAATTAGAAATGTCAAATTTAATGGAACCGATAAATTACATTGCATCGCAGTATGAAAATATTTTCAATCCTTTCTTGGAAAGGCTGCATATGTTAAGGTCACTTTAGCAGGGCTGTCAATGTATTTTGTTACCATTTGCCTTAAAATCGCCCCTTTTAGTGAAAATCACCCATCAAATGTTTCTTATCCTTTGTGTTCACTTATTTCAATTTCATATTCGAAACAGCAATTAACAGGAAGGTTATTTATCATTCAATCACATGTAAACATTGCCAATTCTTCATGCTCTTTCTATCCTTTGTCATTCTGTTTTAGTTTTTTTGCATTTCTGCAGTGATTTCGCATTTCTGCAGTGTTTTCGCATTTCTGCAGTGTTTTCGCATTTCTGCAGTGATTTCGCATTTCTTCATAACATTGTATAAGATTATTAAAGTTTTTAAAAGTCATGTTTATCTATTCTGACCAACGTTAAATGTCTTACTTGCATAGTCTCACAATATACAAAAGTTCAGACGTTTGTCAAAAAAGCTAACGCTAAATTTTGATGTCGATTAGGTTTTAGCGCGACACCCGTTTTGTTTCATTCTATGTTGATAATTTCTTGACAAGGAAATCATGTCCTTGATGTTGAATTCAGATTTCAATTCCTGTACAGAGGCCAATATAGATTTTATAGAATCGTCTATGGAGATTTCTATTCAATAGTCGAGAATCTCTGTTTCATATGAAAGTGGAAATATTTCAATATCTACGTCACCTTCAATAGAAAAAGAGTCTCGAATTTCACTCGTAATTTGAATCTGACGTCATACCAACGAATAAGATGTGACGCACACTCTCAAAGAATTGTTTTCAGTTCTGTCCATTTTCATGGAGAATTGCAGAATTTAGAGATCTATATCAGTTGAGAACTGAGCTCTTAACGAATTGAAGGCTATGCGGACTAACCTTTTTAATTTCTATCCTTTCTAGTGGTTTTTTAAAGAATGGAATCGTCGTAAAATGGGGGTTTTCAAAACTTTACTAAGATTTTAAAAAACGGGCATTGTAAAATAGAGTGTCCTGAAATAGGGCGTCGTAAGATGGGGTGTCGAAAAATGGGACGTCGTAAGACGGGGCATCGTAAAGTGGGGCGTCGTAAAATAGAGCGTCCTAATATGGGGCATCGTAAAATGGGGCGTCGTAGAATGGGGCGTCATAAAATGGGGTTTTTCAAAGAATCAGGCGTCAATATGAGACGGTATCCTTTTGAATGAGCTACAACTTACACTAATCCTATGAGGGTGCTCGTAGCCTGCAGAAATGAACTGAAAAAGAATTAGCGGTCTGGTAATGGGGTTATGCTATCCAGTGGATCCACGCTATCGATGCCCTTTTTAGTAAACTCCGAATCGTTTTATCCTAGTGAGCTGACGTCACAATGTTATTGAAGCTGTTGGTCCTTTTTGCATGCATCTTTTTTGAAAGTGTATCAGGTAGCTGCCCAGGACAGAACGATGTAAGTGATCTTCTCTAGATATTCTTCATAGGATATAACTTGTTATGGCGATAAATTTCTCAGCTTTTTCAATGAAAATAAGACATGTATGAAAGTGATTTTCTCATATCACGTGTATCGTAAATCTCAAGCTGCAGCTTGAAACCATCTGATTACACAATCCCAGGTTTGAATATTATGGGCTCCTACGTTGAATGCGATGAGACGAGGAATGGACGCAACGCCATGAAAAAAATTATCTAATATTAAAATGATCGGTACTTGTAATTACAAAACAATTACCTCATTATAATGCAGGTGAAGGCGATTTATCAAAAATTAAAGGAATTGTGAAGTTTTCTAATTTAGATCTTAAAGGCATTGAGTCATGATAAAATGGATTGGGTATGCCCTAAATGCCAAAATCCGCTGAGTCATGATTTTCATGACTGCGATGCTATTGGTTGACCTTGAACTGGTCACATGAAGTCACCTCGTACTGATTAACAAAACAATTTCCATCAAAAGCAAGTTGTCAACAACGGATGCCAATATCACATGAAACAGCAGCGATCACGTCGAAACCAAATGACCCCCTATAGAGAAGGCCTATTTACCATGACTCAATGCCTTTAATACTGTTTAATCATTATCAGTAATTTAATGAGTTTGGCCAGATCGCTCCCCAATTGACGAAATAAATTTGTTTTTCTTCAAGACATCATGTGGAGTTGATGCTAATGCAACTTTCACCGAGGGTCGAGTATTGATACAGCTTAACTTTGAAACTGCTTTGAAACCTAAGTTACCCTACAGTGGCTGTGATTCTATACTTACCAATATAACATTGGATAAACTTGGACCAAGTCCAATATGCGCATTCATTGCCGATCGACTACTTAAGGTTTATCCTGATCATTCTGCAACGATAATTGATGGAGACAGTATATACTTTCAACCAGAAAGCATTCTCTACCAAAATGGCACAGCCGCCGATATTGGACCGGTTTTAATCAAAAGCGGATCCGATACATCATTCGTTCCGGATTTGGTTATAACTGAGGATGGCTATAGTTCCCAATGTGTCGGAGACAAGTATTTTGTATCTGCGGATTTATCAGAAAATTCTGGGTATGCTTACTTCAATAAATTCAAGTGGATGTTAGAGGATCTCAGCGGAAATGAGTCAGGAATGATTTCTGAAGCGATGACCTATTTGAGTGAGACAGCAGAAAATGTATCCGAAATTTTAGTTACCAGTCCGGTTTTTGCTTCTAATCGTTCCGTATCTATTAACGTTACCAACTTGTTTGGTGAAGCAAGTACAAAGAATATTGAATTGAAGAAGCAATCAGATCCTGTTGCACGAATTGCTGGCAGAAAGTACGTCGAATTTTCTGAAAGCTCTGAATATAATTTTGAGGCGGAATTGATCTTGTCACAATGCGGAATGGACCTAAAGAATGTAACATACAATTGGAACATACAAACAGCAGATGGCGGCCAAAGTATTCCAGCGGAAAACTTCACGTTTTATGATAAATTTCTATTGATAAGACCATTTTCTCTTTCTGCGGGAACCCGGTATAATGTAACTGTTTCATTAACGTATAGCTTGTCTGACACCAGTGAAGGGTCAGTCGCAGATACTGTGTATGTCACAGTTAAAAGGGATCTGTTAGGTGCGGTGATAGAAAGCGGTGACCGAGAAATTGCAGCCACTCAGACTCTAGTTCTTCAAGGACGTGAGGCTTCTGCAATCAACAGAAGGCTTTATACTGTGAACTGGGCCTGTAAAGATCTGGCTACTGGAGATGAATGTAAGAGTAATGGCGGGACACCACTGGAATTTGAAAACTCTACAGTCCTTGTTCTTCCAATGACCCAAGGAAATTTCGTCGTTGGTAAAAGGTAGATAGCCAGTCCTACTTGTGTGAAGATTACTGTTCACTTGTCTTTTTGTATAAAGTAAATTAAACATACCGTAAATTTTCTAATTAAAATAACAAAATTTGCCTACAGTTCCCTTTTCATGCAAGTTTAGCATAGTGAAAGTGTAACTCTGTCTTTATTCCTCAAAATCCACTTTTAAACAGCAATTATTAAAGCTGATTATTAAGATAACAGTAAAAACGACAACTATTATATCTCCATCCATCTGCTGTTATGATTTAACAATTATTACTTACTTTCGACTTTTCATTTGAGGTATGAATTCAAGTTGACTGTCACTAGAAACTTGGAGGTGGCCTCTACAAGCATAAATGTCAAGATTGTTTCTTCTGCTGTCCCGATATTATCTGTCACTCCATTGTGTCGTCAATGTAGCCGTGATAACGATATTTTCTTTCGTGGTATTTTGCTAGCCAATGGAGCAGTTAATTATGCATGGCAGGTAACAGAAAAGAATGGTATGTTGAGACACTATGTATTCTGAATGATAAAGACTATAGCTGAGCTGTCTTTTAATATTTCATATCGAGCTACCATTTATAATCTCACATTACGGAAAATTAACTAACAGTGAATGGATCTAAAGGAAATATATCAAATCTATCTGTTCAAGAATTTACAAAACCTTTCCCAAACCAGGAACTCTTGGGAAACTCATCCGTTGATTCGGATGACTCATTGTATAGCACCAATGAAGTCTTAGACACTAAATGATTAATTAATTAAAGGCTTCAAAAACCTTGTCATAGTCCGAATCGTTTCCTATTTCTGTCAGTTAATGCATGAAATCTTGAACATAGGCAAGCTTTTAAACGACTTATTCGCCAGAGACCCTAGCTGTTAGCGTGTTGTCACGTGCCAACAATCAGAACTCATGTGTTTCATCTGATTGGCCTAATAAACCTGCCAGTCAATAGCCGCTAATCAGATGAAGATTGGTGCTTTGAAGCAATCAAGGCTACGAAGACTTCCTACCGCTCTTTACCACTGTTATCATTGGTTTGCTCAAAATTTCTGACAAGAGAAAAAAATTTAACCAAATTTTCTTTGCAGGAAACACTGCTTCCTTAAGCTCGTCAAGTGGAAGCTTATCAAATGACCATGTAAATGGCTCTTTACCGTACAACACGATTTTCAAAGTACCGAAGAACACACTTAAGGTTGGATACGCATATGAGGTAAAGCTAAGTGCCAATTCTCAGAGTCATGCCAGCATGGTTTTTGAGCTCCGTCTTCCTTCACGCCATGGACATTTTCAAGTGGAGCCGAAGTCCGGACTGGCTTTCAATACGACATTCCGTCTTAGAACCTACGCATGGATAGACCAAAAAGCACACAAGCCGTTTCACTACAGATTTGGTTATATGAAAGGTGCAGAGTCCCGGTATCTGACTGTTTGGCAAAGTAGCAACGTCCTGACCCGGACATTTCTTCCACCCGGCCACCAGGAAGATGGAAATAAGCTGACCCTGTTCGTTCAGGTTCGCAATGCTATTGGTCTGATTTTTGCAAGACAACATGTCGTGACAGTTGAAAACCAGCAAGCTGCAAATGATGGTGATCTGTACACATCATATTTGCGAATGGTTTCTGAGAAAGATGTGAATTCTATGGCTCTTACGCTGCAAGGACTTTTCAAGACAGGCCTTACTGATGAAGTTAAAAGAACCGGGTTTGAGTCATATCTGAATGCAATAAAGACTGTGCCACTGATGCCGAACTTTTCTCCAATTGTCCTTGACACGATCAAAGTTTTGCTAAATATGGTTAACAGAAGTGAAAGTATAATCACTATGGATATCAAGGAGACAATAGCTTCGCTCCTATTGGACATGACAGGACGCAAGGCACGTGATAATTCAGTAGGGAAATTGAACGGTGTAGAGGTGGGTAGCAAATTATTGCCTACTGATTCCCGATTTAGTTAGAAATGAATCCTTTTTCGTCGCTGAAGAACTGATCCAAATTTATCCTTCAGTTTTCAGCTTTTTCTCCCTTCCATCTACAAGGTCTTCCAGAAACGTAGCATTATCGCAGATATCAAGTAAATTAACTGTTTCTGTTGTAGGTAAAGGCGATACTGGATATTTTTCATGGTATTCTCCCAATACCCGGACACAAAACAGCAAGCCACACGAATATCGCCAAGTCATTCATGAATGCAGCAAAAAATCTTGTCAATTCCTTATGCTATTCAAGTCTGAAAGACAACAGTCTCAATAATTTGGAAAACTCGTTGATCAAAATATCATCCAGAATCAGCGATTTTGCAAATGATGTTGATGTGGCTGGCATGTTTTCTGTCAGCAAAGACTTTAGACGCCGGTTCATAGGAGATACATGCTCCGGTTCCAAATATGTCGACTGTATTGGCATATGCTCCTCTGTCAGAACATACAAAGATGCTAAGTACTTTGAAATTAACGAAAGCACCCTAGTAACCAATATTCATGTAGGCCAACTGATCGATTCAAAGAGCGGAAGAAGCTTAGCTCCATCAGCAGAGAGCAGTGATTTCAAATTCACAGTGCCTATTTCTGGGTCATATAACAAGGAAACAGAGAGCGTAAAGGTAGGTAAGGCTAGGTGCTTTTTGGGGCAGTACCATTAAACCTAGTTCTCAGCAAGAAGATGAATTCTGGAAAATCAATATTAGTGGAAATTTAATGTAACTGAGAAATGTTCGACCTAGTTGCATGTTGTGTTGCTCTGGTCTCAAGAGAACTTCTGCATTTCTCCTGCGTTTTAAGCAGGCCTAATCTCTTTTAATTGTTATTCTATCAGTACTGCATAACTTTATATTCTTAATTCTGAAACTGGGAAATATGTAAGCACTAAGAATTATATTATAGAAAACCTGGGCTCATTATGCCTTTTTTTATCACAGTGTGTGATGCAAGATCCTAGCACGCTGTCGTGGAGTACCGAATTTTGCAACTCTACGGTGAAAATTGGCTCTGGAAGTGTCGAAGTCTTGGATTGTACATGCAGAAAGTTGTATTTCCTTGCTGGGATGAAGGAGATGAGCCCCACCACACCACCCCCGATGACGTCTACCGCTTCTTCAAGTGCAGCACCAGCACCAAGTACATTAGCAACAACAAGTAAGATGCTGTTTTTCTATGAATCAAAGATTCTACGAATGTTGCAGACCTGCGAGGGGGGCGTACTCTTCCTTAAATGTTATCAAATAGAGAAATATGGTTGCTTAAATCATATGATGGTTTATATGATAATTTAATTTCCTAAACTGTTTCATTCAAAGAGGTACTTTGTAGTATGAGACCTTGCGGTGCCTAGCCATTGCCGCCAATTAGAAGCTACGCTTCCATTAGCTTGACCCATGGATGCGCTAAGTTCAAGGCAATGCGACCTTTATTTTGTGCTAATCCGCACTAAATGCTTTGACCAGGGCTGTCACAAATGGAGAGGTTTGGGAACAAATAATTTCCCAGCAGTTTCCATTACTTTCAAGCAATGTTTGTAAAAAGGGGAATATATCTTACACGTCTCCAAAATAAAACTTCGGTTTCAACGACTCTTTTATTCACAAGAAACTATCTATCAGTTTTTTTATTTGCGTTTAACTCAAATACAGTTGGATGATATGGTTGTCATTTGATCTTAAAGTCGTATTAATGAAACTTTATCGATGATAGTCCATACCATTTTTCACAGAGTTCGCAAAACTTGACACAGACCCGGTGTCATTTTATTGAACGTCTTTATCTGGATATTAAGATAAAGTTTAAAGTTGACTTTGTTTTTGCTTTGCGCTTATTCATCACTCTGATAGAAAATATTGGCATTCTTTTTTGCACCTTTTAAAATTTCTTGCTAGACTTTTGATCTGTTGGTTCCTTTAGAAATTTCAAATTTTGCACCATTTCTCATAGTGAAGCCAACTCCTTCACCAGCAGATGTGATTACAATTGTTCTAAAAGCGAACTGCACCAAACACATAAGCGATCATGCCAGTCAACAAACGTTCACTAACAGTCTAATACTAAGCCTCGAGTACCAGCTTAAAATCGACAAATCCAGAATAAAAGTATGGAGTCTATCATGTGGAAGCATCATAGCTAACATTACAATATCAGATCCAGACCCATCACAGTCCAGCGAGCCCTCCAAATCTGATGCAATGAATTCACTGCAAAGTCTGCTAGCAACAGGGTTGATGCGAGTGCCCCTAAATGATGGTAGCTACTTAGGGGCAGTTGCTCCTGGGGTCAGCTTGAAGACACCTCCCCCTCCAACTACAATTATCACTACAATTCCCCCAGTTCCAGAGCTACAGACAAACTGGATGCCGATGATGGCATCTTTTGCCCTTATTCTGGTTCTCGTGATTGGTATTGCCACTTTTATTGCTTGGCTTCATGGGCGATATTACAAGAAAAAGCGCTTCACAGATATCAATTGCGACAAGATAAAACCGAAAAAGGAGAGTCCGGAGGAGCCTTTTGAGAACATGTCCCGGAAACAGAAAGCAAAAAAATTTGACACGATTATGGATGGTAAATATTTTGTACATTTCTTTGCGATAACCAACTAGATCGTTCTTTCGTAGGTTCTGCTCATATTAAATGATACGTATAAAGATCATCATCAATGTGATTTTGATCTATGTATCCTATCTGCCATATATATATATATCCTATCTGCTAATTCAGTACAGTACAATACAGTTAAGTTGAGTTCAGCTCAGCTCAGCTCAGCTCAGCCCAGCTCAGCTCATCTCAGCTCAGCTCAGCTCACCTCAGCTCAGCTCAGCTCAGCTCAGCTCAGCTCAGGTTAGCTGTAGTCGAAGCAGATTCCAAAGAATTTAATTGTTCTTTGAATTTTGATTGCCCCTCTTTTATTAAAATATATGCTGATTTTGCTGCCCATGTTATTTTCTCTCTTGTCTATCCTAGAATCAATTCAAAATGCTGAAGTACCAGATATTATCGTCGCTGCTCCCGTTTCTTTGAAGAGAACTCGAGGAAGGTCGCGAATAACTCCAATTCAAGAAAACTTTCCAAGCTCTGTTGCTGCTAGCAGAAGTAACTTTTCGGCGGCTAGAGATGTGCCTCGCCTCGCACTTGACGATTCTTCTTCAGGCTCGGAAGCCGAGACGTCGTTCACCGAGAGACCAAAAAGCACTGTCTCGCAAAAAGTTCGAACGAAAAGTGCTTTGTCTGTGAAGTCACGGGGAAGAAGTGCGAAGCATTCTAAGAACCATTTGCAGCCTGATTCTAGGATCGGTGATAGACCAACCTCAGGACACTCTGTTGTCAGCACAACTGAAAGCACGCAAAATCTGGTTGTCTGAATGCTCAAGTAACTTTACTTAGTGGTGCCAAGGCAATATAGAGCTAGTTTTTTTAATGCTCCTGTTGGATTTGAAACTTTGAAACTTTGAGGGGATGAAGGCATAGCTATGTTTTACCTGAGGCACTCATACCCATATCGATTGCGTGTATGGCGTTGTTAAAATTACATTTGTCTGACATTTTTTTTAAACTCTAGAGTGGTTTAGGCTGTAACATGTAGCTTTGTCGAAATGCCACATTTGCTCATGAAACGTTCGACTAGTTTTGCTTTTTTCTATGTTTGCAGCTGCATAGTTTGCTAGTTTAGTTTGAGAAGTGTGTTAGCTTCAACACAGTAATAGAATTAGCACAACTTTGCAAAGCAAACGCAAGTAGATAAAATTAAAAAGCAAACACATTCTAGAAAAATTTGAATTCACTTGAAATGCTGGTATATTGCGTAGGAATTATGTTGATAATATGATGACGGCAATCACATTTTGGTCGTAATTTGTTTGTATAATTAAGAGCAAGTTAATCAGATCTCAATCAAGTGTCAGCCGTAACCAGGTTAGTTGGCTAACAACTGGTCATGATATCAGCTGGCAGAGATGGTCAAAACAAATTTGTTAATTATGCATGTGAAATTGAGCTTTTATGCCGAGAGTCAGTAAACATGTCACGATAGCCTAAATGCTTGATAAACTTTTAAAATAAATAGGGACCAGGGAGAATTACATATAAGTTAGTAGACCCAAAAACGTTTTACACTGGGTACTAGGGGGAGGAGTAAATATGGTTGTTTTATTACTGGCACGGTGTCTGGCGATTGAATTGTGTTTTATGGTAAAAATATGGCCACAATACTTTTGAATTGATGGTATCGTTAAGGAAAAAAGGCATCATCTCTCCACATTTCCATCCTGTAGAGCTGAATTTATTTTAACTGCGAGAGTGAAGTAAACGAAAGACATCTAGGTAGTTGTAAAAGGGATATATATTTGCTATGCCCGCAGTTGTTTATCTCTTAATTGTAGATATTAATCTAAGTTCCAGCTTTGCTGTGTCAAAACTGGAAATGTATCAGCAAAGTGTAGGTATAAATGTAGATACGTAATAACTGTAATAAATGTAGGTATAAATGTAAATTATGTAATATGACAAGCAAGTAGCAGCAATACATGTTCTTTGTATCGGCTTATGCGCTGTATGGTTGTTAATAAATAAATTTGCGTTAAACTAATTATGTATATATGTGTATAGATTGTTATTATGTTAGTGAGCAAGCAATTTTGCAATTCAATGTTCTCAGAATGTCTCTGCTTTAAACTCTGTATGTTTCATACCCTCGAAACCCTGTGGTCTAGTATTCCGAGATGAAGTGGGTAGCTGTGGCTGAAATTCCTAAACCAACGTCTCCAAGTCGCTGTATGTGAAGACCAATCAGGGTTAATACCAATTTCAATATTTTCATAAAGGCCATTGTTCGTAACGCGATCTAGATATAATTTTTACGTACACATAGAGGTCTCCGAATGCTTCTAAATAAACTGCAGTAACGTTGGTATAGAATGCTTGTAGATGCTGGATCAGAAAGTATATAATCCGAATAAATCACGTATTTAAATTATGCAAAATTGCATTTCCAGGAACAACTTTAGTAGTACGCAAATGAACCTTTTGCCTTATCGGATATATTCTGTTTGGCGCCAAAGATGTGGTTTTCCTTGTTAAAATCTTTTATCTTTTCAAGCAGCGAAGCTCGTTCCTGAGGTTGCTAAGCCTGTGCAGGAAATTAATAGGCCTAGCAACAGAACTTACGAGGATTGCAAGTATGACAACATCCCTCAATATATGTACTGCCAGGCAATCACATTCGTGGCACATATTTAAGTAAATACAGGCGAGAAAGACCGGAAAGTAGCTTGTTATGAATATCGCTAGCATGAAAAACAATGTCCGTATGATTCTTCTCTGGTTGCTTGTAGCTCGGAATCTACCGATGCTGAAAACTTTTGTTGTGGCAACTCTGCTGTTCTGATTGTCAGGGTCAATGCTCAAACGATTGTCATTCGGCGCAGTGACTGAAACTAGTTTCTTCCAGAATATCCTCATGGTGAGAAACATCACCCCGACTGTGAATAAGACGGTGCAAAGGGAAAATATAAGCAAATACCGCGTAAAGCCGATGTTTAAAGAAAGGTAGCCTGAAAATGCAGACACTAGCCAAATAGCAGACAAAGAAACAAGGAGATGCCATTCCTTCAGTGTTTCATAGAAGGCTGGGAACTGGATGGAAAGATATCTGTCGATGTTGAGCAATGCCATACTAAGCACTGACGAGGTTCCAAGCACAAACAAACTGGCTAAAAATGTACTCAACTCTGCTTTCTTAGGCCCAGTCCCTAGCCCCTCTTGAATTAACAAAGCAGCACCCAGGGGTTCTGTAAGAACGCCAAGGAGCAAGTCCGAAATTGCAATGTTCAACATGATCATGTAAAACTGAGATGTATAGTTGCCAGATTTTATAATAGCAACTATTACTGCAGTGTTTAAGGGTATAGTCAGTAGGCACATGATAGTGGAACATGTACTAGTTGTGTATGATAGAGCGCTCCATCTGTGTATACTGCCACAATCGTTAGAACGGGACATGTCTTCTTTGATGCACCTGACAAAGAAAACAGTAAGTGACGTCAGAGAACACAACTCAGACTTTGCATCTTTTGACATCAAAATGAATAATCGACTACTGATAGTATTTTCGAAGTACAATCAATTCTGTGTAATTTAAACACGTGTAATTCAAACGTCACAAACTCGAACAAAATTATCCGGTCCCTCGGAAATCTCCTAATCAACCCGTACAAAAAAACCTCCGTAATCCGAATCTCTATAATTCGAACTTTTCGTAAGTCGATCAATTCATGGTTGATCTAGAGCATACAAATCATAAATTATATTGCTATAAAAATGATAGGAGATAGGTATTGCCATGAAGAAATGAGATAAAACATGTTTAAAATTAGCCTCTTTATTCGACCTTTGCATTCAAAACTCTTTTGTTTTTTCACAAAATATAATGTTTGCCTTTTGAATATCTTCAACGCCTGACAAAAACTAAAATGTATCTTATAACCGTTCTATTCAGTAAACAAAATGACTAATAGGTAATTTGGAATATAATTTCCTAATGCTTCTATTTACAAATTGCCTTGATATAAAAGCATATGCAAAAATCAAATGCAGATGATGAGCAACCTGTTTTGATCCTAACTTCATAATAAGACACTATTCTCATTCTTTACAGTGATTTGCAACCTCACCTCCTTTCTTTTTTCACCTACTATCATCCTATCTCCATCCATCTTATTTTACAGCTCTTTCAATAATGATTGACACGAGTTTCCCTCGCTTATTTTATGATATTTTCACTCAAATGTAGTCTGCGATGTTTCAAAAAATAATCTTGATCACACATTTCTATCACGAGAGTGATTTTTCATGGGAATTGAATTCAATTTACGAAAAGTTTGCAATGGATACTACAAGAATTATGAAAAAACTACAACATCAATCGACTATATAGTGTTATAATCATACCTTGCCCTTTATCTTTGGATTTTGCCACTTAATGATACAGGAATGCCCAACACAATACGATGTTAATAGACTTGCATTGTTCATGAATTTTTCGCTTATGTTAAGAATAGAGATATGCACCTGTCGATATCGTCATATGATAACCCTAAGAAAGCAACCAATAGGAGTTCTTAATTACACTAAAGCACAAATATTAGCTCGTTATTCGCAAGAAGGATGGCCAAGTTTGACAGATATCATATTATTCTTTTCAATGCACGAGAGTGTTAAAGTAAATCAGATCAGCTGCTGTACCAGAAAAAATAAACATCGTTTTCAAAAGGTTTAAATTGATTTTACGCAGCCAGAAGTATGTTAGGTTGAGTAAGGATCGCTCAGATAAAAAAGCATAACTTTCGGTACGGTTTTTAAAAAAGTACTTTTCAATTTCGCAGATAGTTGTTAGAGCTTCTTTTAGTTGGATAAAGCTGTCATAGTCATATTAATCCCGAGACTCTTGAGATGGTTTTATATTTTACGTAATTAGTAAAGTGTAACAACACAGTTTTAGCAAATTATGGCTGTATGTCCCCTCACTAAATCAACTCTCTACAAGAAGTGACAGGCTTTTCTTGGCAAGGAATGCAAATTTTATCATTAGGAAGAATGCAGATCGACTCTTCTACGAGAATCGACTGTTTTAATATACCTACCCTTCACGCTTTCCTTTTAATATACCTACCCTTAACATTCGCCCATTTACACATTAAAACCCTACCATAGACCTCGATACTATTTATACGAGGCTCTCAGCCTTTTAAAACAAAATTTTCAGAAAGAGCAAAAGTAGAGGGAAGATTTGGATCACATCAAACCAGCCACGTAGTTGCAGGAGGGGGCACGGGGGCTGTGCCTCGTAAATTAAAATATTGACAACAACTTGTCCCCTCTGGCTACAGTTTTTCCAAAAGATATTTTGAAAAGTTGGTATAACTATAATTCCGTGAGGTTGATTTAGTCCAAATATAAATGTTTGTTATACATCTGTTTTCTTGTTTTAAAGTCTGTCTGCCCCGCCCTCAGGTATGGTTCTTGCTCGCGTTTGCCCACCCTAGCCGACATCTAACAGCTACGTGGCTGGAACAAACAAAGACAAAAGGCAATTGCGTTCTTTTTAGGACTATATGGTCCTAAATGACTAGTCATATGGAATTAATCGTTGTGTTATTTCGAATCTAAGCACTTCCTTCTTTAATTCGCGCCTCGTTTCAGTGAACTTGGTCTCCTTTTCAGTTTCCACCATATTCGATTTTTTGGCGGGGTAAATTTGTTAAAGGCCTATTTGTTTGTTAGACAGTTCTACCTTTGTGTTCAGAAGGATTTACTTGGAGCTTTATATAAGTTCACCAACCTAGCAATGACCTCACGTGCATTTTATGTCCTTATTTAAGCTAGCAGAATCGGTAAGCTTTTAATTCAGGATAGGCCAGTCGCATTGGTGCCCGCTTATTTGTGCGAGAAATGCTGCTTGGATAAACTTGACAAGCATGTCTCTTCCACCAGAAAAGCTTCAAGAATTGAAAGGAATCATCCATAGTCACCTAGATCGTATGGATATTCACAGTAAAGTTCGGGAATTCATGTCAGAATCTGCAAGAGACAAAAATGATGATACTCACTATGAACCAATGGATGAAGTAAAATTGCTGAGGTCAATCCGAGATAAAGGAATTATCGACGATGTCATGAGAGGACTAGATTTCAAAGGATTGTCTGGAGCAGCCGGGCAAACTAAGGACGTACGCAGCAAAGAATTCCAGAGAAAGCCAAAAGGCGATAATTGTTTGGCTGGTGGTGCAAATTTAGATAAAGAATGTCAGTATTTTTATTCCAGGGTACTTTTAGCATGTGATTGTATTTTGGTTGATATTGACAATAAGACATATATCAAGAGAGGGATTCTCTAAAAAGCACGCTTATGATTTTGTATTGTACAGAGATGTAGCCAGAAGAGGTTACATGGAGGCTATCCCCCATTGAGTATGTTTATCCATCACTACCAAACTTTGAATGATAGATCTATACAGCATAATATACCCAGAACTTGTTGTGAAACTTTTCATAAATTCTGGCTATATCATTGAGTCATGTTGCCATAGCTGTCCAGTTTATATTCCCAGATGTGTATGAGATGTATTGTTCTGCCCCATGATTTCTATTGTAAATTCTTTTGATTTTCCCTTTTCAAATGTGTAAGACTTGCCCAAAATGTGTGAGACTTGATAGGTTTGTGTTGCAAGTGTCTCAATTTTTAGTAGCACTATTCAAATATAAATTAAAACTAAAATTTGGAGCAACTGAAAAGAATATGTAAAGAAAATTGTTCCAAAACTTTACTCTTCTGGTAGATAGAGAATACCAATAGCTTTATAGTTTTTAGAGGGTTAATGAAGCAATCAGGCTTTAAATCCAATTCCAGAGATAAAACCTTCTTCACAAGCATCAAGGGTGCCCATTAGAACTATTTTGGGGTTTGGGGAATGTCATCAAGTTGGACCAAATCTTGATTAGAATGGACTGACCTTTCTAAATAGATGCCAAAAAGGAGGTGAAATTCTACCATTCACAAGGATCAGGATCTACTCTCAGCCATTAAAGTTTTTTCAGACTAAACATTTAAATCATTTTTTTGGGGGGGGGAGTAGTACTATAACACCTGATTGAGCTTGTAATTTATGTAATACAAATTTGGCCTTTGTATAGCTTTAACACAAATAAGTAGAATTTTCAGCTTGCCCAACATACTTGCTATTTGTTTGTTTCAAATTCTTTAGATCATTAGTAGTTAAGTCTATTTGCAATGCAAGGGCCCAAAAATTTGGATGAAATTAAAGTTGTTCTTTTTCACAACAGTTGCAGTCGATCCAAGCAAAAGGTACATATATTTGCAGATACTTGGTGGGAAAGCCTTTTTAGAGCATCTACAAGATCCAGAACCACTGCCTGGAAGAGCAACTAGTACATTTACTCTGTTTGTTCAATATAGAGAACAGAGGTTTAAGTCAAGGCCTGTTTCATGTAGCTGTGATCCTGATTTTCAAGAAGGTATAGAGATGATAATTTTTCTATTATCGTCCTCTTTGAGTATAATTTGAATTCTACTTATACTTTGATTTCCTTAATCCTTAAACATTTACAATTCTATCTGCAGACCAAAAGTATCTGATTCAATATTGTTAGTGGCTTTTTCATAGCTGGTCAATTAGAATTAACAGCACCTTGAAGTAGAAAGTGGTTAGCTGTCAAAAACATTGTTATCTTCTGAACTGAAAGTAGAAACCTAGGGTAAGGACCTATGCTCTATAATACTCTTCACAAATTTGTGATTTTAAAGTCAAATGTTATGTTAATATATGATTGGTCTAGCAGAATTAGTCAGACACTGTGACCAAGCACAGTAATGTGAATGTGAAATTACTATGAAGTTGTAGTAGGATGTTGGCTAGCTTTCATTGTTTCCACAAACATTTAGCTCCAAGTTATCAGGCCATCTACTTGCATACAATTGACAAGTGGGAGCAAAATCTGTTGAGTTGTGATGTTTTTGCACTTGATAGATAACATTCAATGAGAAAAAGTTAGTCTTTAAGTTCTAAAACCACTTTTGAATAAAATAGTTTTTTGAACTTTCAAAATTGAACTTTTTGTTTTAATGTCATCTGACAGGCTTTCTAATAGAGGTTCAAAAACACCCAAAAGACCCTGGGAAAATCTCTACAGCACCGTTACTGCTAACTGTCTCAGATAAAGTTCACCTGATTCTAATAAAGAATGATTTGTCTGGTGAAAAGAGCCTTCTTTCTTCGCATTTTTTGGATTGGAGAAGAATTTTATCCTGTTCAGATGGAAGAAGTAGCTTTGCACTTGAAATGAATGGTGTTGGTGCTGAAAACAATGTCCCTGTTGGGGTGTTGGATATAAAATTGTCAATTGTTCCAAAAATATCAAAGGTATCATAAATTGATTTATCAATCATGAAATGAATTGATTTTCATCAGAAAATTATTGTTTTTGTGTAAAGCATCTAATGTTTTGCAACATTCAAAGAGCTCTTTTTTCTATTTTAAGTATATATTCATGCAGTATTGTATATGACATTCAAAACCTTAATTTTGTAACCTTGTCTTGTAATTTTGTAACTTTGTAACTTTGTAATTTTGTGAGCAGCCTTGTCTTTTAAGCTGTTTGTTCTAATTATTTGTGTGAAAGCTCATAATGGGTAAGTATATACAACTATTTTCAAACATGTTGCTGAAAATGTTTACCGACCTGCTCTAGAAAGTCACTGCTGATGTATTGTCAGGACAACTGAATTCAGAAAAAAGTAGACTGTCAGAGAGAGAACGATTATTTTTGGCATATGCTAAGCAGTGGTGGAGGGAATTCCTACAAATTAGAGCATCTCATTCAAACAGACTTGTAAAGATCTTTGCTCAGGATGAGAATGGTGTACACAAGCTGGCATGCTCATTTGTGCAACCATTGCGAAGTGGGAGGTTGATTGATACTCCAAGACAGGCAGCCAGATTTGTGTCTTTGATTGGATATGACAAGGCTTCAACAATTGGTGGTGCTCACAGTGAAATGTGGACAAACATGCTGTCTTTCTTGTGTACAGGAAAAGGGGTAAGCTGCTAATCTTAGTACCATCTATATTGATTTTTTACTGAATCTTTGTTAAGATTTCTTGTGTCCTTCGTTTTAACTTCAACTTTGAACATTTGCAAATGACTTCTTGGCTAATGGGTTAAGATGGTCCAGAAGGCAAGATAAAACTTGATGCTACTAGGTCTCTGCTTTTAGTTATTGTGGCTTGGGTAGCCAAAAACAATGATTCTGTTTCTCTTTGTAAGTGTCTGATTTCTCTTGAAGAAAGGAAGCTAACCTTCATCCTATCCAGACTTTGTAACAGACCTTTCAAATTTTTAAAACCTGGAAATTTTTTTCTTTTCTTAAGTATGACAAAAATTATAACAGGAATTGCTACCCTGAGTAAAACAATTCCTTTGTATTATTTTTTGAAGCCCTTTTTAAGTTTGCATGATTACTTTTTGAAATTTATTTGTAAAACCTAAAAAGTTGTTTACTACCTCCAGAACTCATATCACTCATATTCATAATACAGCTTAACATCAGCTTTATTCCTTCGCAGGACGTGGATAATCACTCGATATTGCTTTGCAGTCTATTGCTTGGGTTCGGATTGAATGCATTTGTTTGTATTGGGACCAAGGCCAAGGGCAAAGCCCATAGCTGGGTGGCTTCTATTGGAACTGATGGGAATTGTGTGTTTTGGGAGAGCCTCACAGGTCAAAGGTATGCATTATGACAGCTATGTTTTGATAATTGTCTTTTGTTCTGTGAGGTTAGAAATATCTTCTCTTGTGGGCCTAATCACTTGAAAAACTTTAATTTGTTGCACTTATGTCTGATTCAGTTATGCTTATTTTTGTTTGGTATTAAATTGTGCTTCTAATGTACGTTTCTGCTGCGTTCATTGCGATAAAATTTTTGTTATTGCAAAATGCAAATCATTCAGTTATAGAGCTGAAAATTTGCCCCTTTCCGAGAAAAAACCGATCAAAGACGAACCGATTTGGTGACACTGCTACATAAGAATCTTAGGATCTTGCTCGCTGTGAATTGACTGCTTGTTCGAAAATTTCTGCTTCTTGAAGTTATTTCTGAAATAAACTTGTTAAGTTGAAAATAATTCAAATAATAAACACGATTCTAGGTCGTCTGTTTGATTTCGTAGTTTCGATTGCAACTGTGACCTGTAGAGCTGCTTACGTTTAAATCGCCTACAACTACCTCTTCGCTTGCTTACTTATCTGTGGCTTCGCACACGAAGGCTAGGTCAAACTTAAACACTTTGACGTCAAGTTTACACATCACATTCACCAAAGCGGATATTCCTTTCGTGTAGTTCAACTCAATTGTCAAAGTGGAAGCTCTTGTTATTCAAAAAGTGTACAAAATATTTTGGAAATCATAACAAATTCATGATAATTTCATTAGATTAACTAATAAAGAAAGTTAGACGCAAGAAAGTTAGGCTTTGCACAAGAAATTTAGACACATTAAGAAGCTTTGTGTATGCTTTGATATGTAGGAGGAAAGCGTTAAGTTGCTATTCTGAGTTTCACCCTTGTGTGATCATCAGGCAAGGGACAAAGAATTACTATTGTGCCTACACTGCATGGATCAGCCTTCAACTGACTGGCTAACTCTTGAATATCTACTCTCTATTGCTTCGTATGAACACTTTATTTTTCTGTTAATAGTCAGCAGAGATTCTTTCTGTAGAACTGTATGTTTCGCGTGATAACCTTTTGTTTCGTGTGTTCATGTAGATTTATAAGCTTGTAGTCATGTTAGAGACCCAGCGTACTTATACTGTACACCCGAAGGCATAGATAGGCATTTCAAGTTACATGAATGTTGAGAAGTTAAGGATTATGATGAATACTTTTTTAATGTCCCAGTTTAGCTATTGTCCACTTATCTGGATGTTCCATGACAGGTCGGTTAATAAGAAAATAAACAAAATCCACGAGAGAGCCCTGAGAATCACATACAAGGATAGTTGTTCTAGTTTCGAAGATTTATTGAAGAAAGCAAAACCTGTTTCCGTTCACCAGAAAAATTTAAAATTGCTTGCTACCAAAATCTTTAAAACTCAAAGCAATCTCAATCCTAGTTTCATGAAACAAATTTTTGTTCTGAAAGATCTACCTTACCACCTTCGAGGCTGAAGAAATATTTTTGCACCGAAACCAAAAGGAACAGGGTATGGTATTGAAAGTGCATGTTTTCTTGGATCTAGGATATGGCATGCTATGCCATCTTCTATTAAAGAGTCCCAGACACTTAACAGCTTCAAAAGAAAAGTTCAAAGCTACGATTTTGATTGCAGTTGTAGATTGTGTAGATTGTATATAGGTAATTTAGGGTTTTTATAGTTATATTCTTTAATAGTATTCTCTCATTTGTAATTTAGATTTAATTTATTATATTATCTTGTATTTAAGTTTCGGTTGGCTTGAATTAGCACGTGAGCTAGCAATAGAAGCCAACCTTAAATAAAGAAATTATTATTATTATTAATTAGACATGCTTTGATATGTATAGCTGCTCTATCAGAGCAGGGGGTTCTCGATTACTACACTGAGCTTTAATGTGATCATCAGGCAAGCGCGCCAAAGAGAGTACAGCTCTGTCTTCACTACATTGATCAGTATGCAACCGATCCATTGAAAGTAATATTTACAACATTGATAGCCTGTGATTTTTCAGATTCGTTCATCAGCCGATCAACCCAGATGATCCCCCTGCTGTACGGCAACCAAAGCCATCACATGCTTATGAAAAAATTGGGTGTGCCTTCAATAACAAGGAATTTTACGCCAATTGCCAGGTAAACCTTGTGACTGCTCTCCAGTTAGTTGGCCGAGGGAGCTTGGCCTATAACATTACTGGATATTTTTAAATACCTCATTTATCTGTCTTTTGTATGTCCTTAACATTGTTTTCTGTGCTTTGATGCCTTCCAGAACTCAAAATTTTTGGGAACCTAGTTCCAAGGTTCTGATTTATTTTTCAGCTTTGATTTTGAGAGACAGCATCTTCCTAAACCCACACGATGCTAAGCCTCTGTTGCTGCTTTAGTTTCTCTTATTGTCAGCTTTGTTTATATTCCAGCCAAGTGACAATGTGGATTTATGCATTTTCGAATTCAATAATGAGTCTCTTTGGAAAGGAATGAGCCTTGATGCCATAAAGTCAGTCTGTGGGCCAGGGATTTTGGTAAGCTTATCTTAATAGATTTGTCCCCAGTTCATTGGTTGTGTTTGAGGCATTGTCCAGTTACCCCAAAACCAAGGTATGCCAAGCAGCGTATGAAAAAGATTTTCCTCGTTAGCAAAGATAGTGGTGTTCACACGCTATAGATCAAGAAATTGCATTGAAGCCTTAATTTAGCAAAGCTCATTGATTCCAGGTCAGCTTTGTCATTACGGAAGGGAACATCTTTGTTGAAAAAAGCAATGAAGCTTTCTGTTTTCAAATTTTGGCTTCAATCATAGGACTTTGAGATCAATGTTTTAGATGTTAGTCAACTTGATCGTCCTTCTGTGCGCTATTGAGTATCTTATTTCTCCTTATGTCTGTGTATAAGCTGAAACCCCTGGTTGTCGGAGTCCTGTTGTGGAATCTTTCTACACGGTGTGAGGGCTCAACTTGTCCCTTACATACCTCATTATTGCCTCATAATCAGCATTAAAATTGTTTATTTTAGAGTTCTACCATTTGTGTAATTGTAAAATGTAATTGTTCCCTGAACTTTCTTGAATCAAAATTTGGAGCTCGATAAAAGTTTTCGTTATTTTCTTCTTAAGTGTATCGATTAAAGATAATGTACCAAGCCTTCTAATGTTTGTCGAAAACACCTCGCTTTATTATATTATTTTTGTTGTTATGGAAAAACCTCTCAATTTTTGTAATCCAGAAATTTATAAGACCACAGTTTATACGAACACCACGGCTCGATTTGCCAAAAAATAAGAACATACCCACCTTAGATGAACAATTAGAAGAAAAATGCAATGTTTTTTTTAAATTTTTTCTTATGTTAGCAAAACAGAGCAGATTTTACCAGCAACTTAAAGGCAATCTGTCTCGTTGTGGATTGGTTAACGAGAACAATAGCTGGAACAATAGTCTAAACACGATTCCAGCGCTCCGTCATATTTTTTACAATGCGATAAATTAAAGGGGGACTGGAAACATTAAAAATCCCTTTGTTCTTATAACCAATCAACGTCGTGACAGATTGCCTTTAACTTGCTTCTATAATGCGAAAATATTATTTAGTAGTCTTAGAGACAATTTATAGTATTTAGTTGTAGAAAATTAATTTTGAAATAAGAAAAGTATTAAAAACACCTGACCATCAAATTATTCAAAAATAAGTAAATTATCTCTTATAACTTGCTTTATTCAAATTATCTGTTATAATTTGCTTTATTCAAAATAAAAATAAACAAGCATGACATTTCCTCCCTCCCTTCCTGATTCCTTCTCCCATTTCCTTGTTAGGGTTCAGCTATAGCTCTTGAGTCTTTCCCTAGAATTACCAAGTAAAAAAATATTGAGTCTTATAAAAATCTTATTAAAAGAATGTTTATTTGCAGCCCTCGCCACGACAATTAATCACACTGCTTCCCCCATCTGTTGACCCTGTCATTGCAAGCAACGAGCTGGAAATTGATTTACGAGCTTTGGTCGTTGAGCACAGAAATGTAAGTAACGAAATATTTTGCTTCTTGGTTAAAAAACTTTTGATTAAATGCAAACAACAGTTCGATAACCATAACGAAAATCAAGCCAATATTCTAACGACATTTTTTCGCAAAAAGTGTGGAGTTTTATAGTGTATGGAAGATCATGTGGGTCTTATAGATAGAAATGTTTTATGAGCTGTATAATGTAAAACGACAATACTGTAGAAAAATTTCGCAAATGGTTGCTTGAAAGCGTCGAGAACGAGACTTAGCAATACTTTACGAAAGCTGAATGCTGCAAAGCCATTGGAATCTGTCTTGAAGATTCTTGAAATTCATGGCCGTCACAAAATAAGTTATAAAAAATTGCTTATACTCAGAGTACTTAACTGGCAAAAAGTTTCCTGGGTAATCCTAAAATCTAAACAAACATTTTGATCACAAGAACTAGTGATTTTGAGAACTGTTATCAGAAGCAATGTTAAACGCGAATGTAATTGTAATAATTTGGAATAGAATGTGTGTATCCCGTATGTACATTAAGTCCCGTATAAATTAGTATCCCGTATGTACATGAAGTCCCGTATGTAATCCGCCCATGTAATCTCATACACACGTGTTTTGTTGTTCAGTTCTTAAATATGGAGTTAATATACAGTTGGTATTTTAGTAGGTATATAATCATGGACATTTCTCTATGATCAGCCCCTAAAACATTATAATGTGTTGCTTGGTTTGTGTGTCTACTGCTTAAGAAAAAACAGTGTTTCAAGGCCTTCAGTGTGGAAATTTGGGAATTCACCTTGCTATATGATAATGGTTCCGTCTTGTAACAAGAAGTTTTAGAAAAGATCTTTCACCCAGTACTTTAGGATATATATTCAAAATTTTCTTACATTCTTATTAACTTTATCTCAAATGCAATTTTCGCATTTGGCCCCTTTTGCACTGTCTTAGATCAGATTGGATTGCTGGTTTGTGCGATAGGCCAATTTCGTAGCATGCTAGGCTTGTCTTATATGCAGAAAAAGATTGTCCTAAATACAGAAAACAATTTTGCAAACTATGTAATCTATCTCTTATTGATGTATTAATGCTGGATATTCAAGTGATATTTGATTTACATTTGTTTTTCTCTTTAGATTTGGTAATGTATTCGATAATTTCGAACCGTAATCTGACACCCAAATCCCAGATGTAGTATTGTAAGCTTTAATAATAATGGTAATACAAGAACGATAATCGACTAACTGATACAGCCTGACAGCAATAATCGTAAAGCCTTTTATAAATGAATTGTTCATTGTTACCCCTCTCTGCAGAATATTGGCATGACTACTCAATGGGACGATGAGCTATGCTACTTGCTGTCCCCTGCCCTGGCAGCCTATGAGCATGAGCATAGTCTTGGTGTATCTGTTGGAAATGAGGAGTTTCAGAATGCAATTCGAAGGAATGTTCCCGATGGTCACACCTTCAAAGGGTTCCCAATCCAGTTCATCCACAGAAATGCTGCCCGTGCGTTTGCAACTTGCCTCAGGTATTTAATTGATTTTTTTTGTATATGATTCCAGCGATTTCAATAACATAAGCTCAGATTCGAATCAAACTTCCAGGCTTTGTGCTTGTTGTCAAAGTTGCGAATGTTTACAGGCAAAGTTCATTTGAATTTATCTATGAAGACTTTTTAATGTGCGTTAAGGCTTGCCTGTCTAAGTCTTTTTATCATTCCAATAGTTTTAATGCTGAAATCCGTAACACACCTCAATGCAGCTCTCGTTATGCCTCATCCCGGATTACTGGAGCTTGCTCTATTACCCCCACTCGCATCACACTGGGGTTGAAGAAAAATGTTTTAATGCCATACAGCAAAGCAATTAAACATGTTTCTATTGCTTATAAGATTTCAAACTAAAAGCGTGATCGAATGAAAATACAGTTTTAACTGTCCTTTTTTGGGTGTAGTTTAAGAAGCTTTGATGCAGCTATAGATCATAAAGTGAAAGAGACATTTCTATCGATATAATGTACAAATTACAAATCTTGAAGTACATTTTTACATTTTCCAGATCCCCTATTTGTGAAGATATTATATGTTGCCGTGGTGATCAAGTTCGTCTCGCGGTCAGAACGCGGATCTTCACGTACCCCGAAGAAACTATGGCAGTATGGATAATGTTTGCTGTCAAATACAAATCAATACTGTAAAATACCAATTATGAAGGTTTGAAACTTAAGCGTTATTGATAGAGTGGTTGTTGCTCACAAAACTAATTAAAGAGTTTATCTCTATGATATTCATTAATTCCTACGGCCCAACTTATTTCCACATACATAAAAATGCACACTCTAAAAATGGCAGAGTATAATGCACATTAAATAAACAAGGACATCTTTGTCTTGCTTCAAAGACAGAACTTACACTCGGCTCTTTGCGTCGTTTTGCGGCTGATTGCGTGCACCCTACCAATATTTCATCTGCAGATATACGAACGACACAAGAAAGAAGCTAAATACTGCAGTTACCCTTTCGAAATTTATGTTTATCAAAATGAAAGCATATAAATATACAGTGGTAGCATATTGATGATTCGAGTTTAATAAACTGTGCCTTTAGTCTTGCTTCTGATTACGGTATTTTATCACAAATCCATTAACAGCATGGCAGCGGCAACCGCCTCGGATGCTTTCCAATGACTTTGCCGCAAGCACAGCATTTGTGCAGGACATCTTTTGAAAAGCTGGATTTCAGAGTAAACATCATCAATGCAGGAAAAACGAAGAAGGCTACCACTGTCATTACCACTGTTGCTTTACCAATTTTGTGTGTAATTGTTGTCATGTGCTACAAAATAGATCAATGGACTGTAAGAGATGATATATACGAAAAATATGTGTAGACTTTTACAGGACTCAAATTTCGCTAAAGTGACCTTAAATCAAAACATGTAAAAGAACCACAATCTAATTTTTGTTTCTTCGTTTGTTTGTTTGTTTGTTTGTTTGCTTGTTTGTTGTTTGTTGGCTTAGGTGAAGTTGGTTTATGGTACAGAAGTTGTCTCCCCTCGAAATGTTAGTATTGGCATTGCTATGTTGAAAATAAAGCTATAAACACGAAAAGGGTTGTAGGATACATAGATTATTGCGTTTCAATTAAGGATCTTTAACTACAGAATAGCAAAATACATTTTGAAAAATAACAATCACTGTCTTTATTTCTCGGCATGATGACGTCACAGAAATAGTGCTCAAATTTTGTCTGTATATTGCAGTTTTTTATAATTGCAATTAAATATAACTCTTTTTGTGACTAGAACACTCACTTTTTTATTCTAGACCTTTTCGTAAAATCATTTTGTATCTAATGTTGTTGAATTTAACTTAATCAGGGTTAAATTAATGCAACCGAATGTAAGAAAATGACACTGAATTGCAATGCCGTATTCGCCGTATTCGACCGTTACCCATTTGCAGAATCTTGAACAGTTAACAGGATGGCTAACCTAAAGTTCTCTGAATAAGAAATGAATTATCATAGACTTTTTGGCCAAAATTTATTACTTTTTAGAGAAAGTTGTTTTACGGCTAACGTATTACTTGAGGATGAAATATCAGCTCATTTACCTAGAAATATAATCTTGATTGATACCTTTTTCGGATCAACTTCAAAACTTTTTTATCATATCTCGTTATTCTCAGAACTCTGAGGGCAATCTTGTTTGACCCGCTGACCAATTTCAGGGTTCGAATCCAAACACCTTTAATGAAGGAATCAACATTGTACGGGAAAGAGGGAAGTGATTGGCCTTTGTTGGCTTTTAAACTGAAATATGGTAGAGTTCCGAATATTTTTGACATTTTCTAAAGATTTGTGGTTTGACTTTTAATATTTTTTCACTTGCTAGCGTGCATTAATGTTTTGCATGTGCCAATATTGGAATGCTGAAATGAACACATAACGCAGTAATTAGCTTTCGTCTCTATGTAGGGCTTAGACAAAAAATACAGCGAAATTTTCAGATTATAGAAGAAGCTATTGTACCTCATCTCCACATTTTTCGCAGAAAACTCTCATTGGGCGTCTTCCAAGTTTATTCTCTGTTGCTTGGGACTTTTTAATTGATGTTTCTTGGTCTGCCATAGTGTTCTTTCGAGAAACGTTCAAAGATTTCCGCGCGTTGTATGCTGATCTAGTTATACTCATCCAATCGTGACGTCAGATGTATAACAACAAGGTTTTTGTAACGAAATTTATTACTCTGACGCAAGCAGATTCACCAGAAATCGGCCACAGTTTTATGACACACAGCTAAGCAAATTTCAAGCGAAAGTCTCATTTTGAATCAGCTTAAACAGCTTTCGTTCGAAATTCAGAAACAGAAGATTCAGACATTTGATTTTTCCACCAAAGATTGAAAGATGGAGGACAGGAAAACTAACATTGACAACAAATATACTAATTTGGATGTGAGTTAAAGCTTTGCGTATATATTTGATACATAGCCAAAAAACTAGCGTAAAATTGTCTTTGGATATTGTTAAATGTAAAATTTGGAGGGACGGAAAACCTATGGAATTCTCTTGAAGGATCTTGGCTACTCTAAAAGCTTATCTTATTTTCTTTTTTAGGTAATGTTTTAGTCAGCCTTTTTTTTGAGAATATTACCCAAAACAAACAAACTCTTATAACAGCTGTGACAGATAAGGGTGCTGAGGGGGCTTTGCCCCAAATAATTCCCAGAAACTTTTTAGCCCCCTCAATTTGTGCGTTCATCGTCTTACAGCATACTGTTTGTGATCTTTATTACAGAAATCCACCAACGATGGTATTGCACTTACTGAAGTTCAGTTAAGCCCTGCGGTACAGCCAAATTCTGTTTACACGCCTACCGTTGTCACGCAACAACCGAAAACTTCTTTTGGTACATTGCCTCAACCAGCATTTTGCCCTTCATGTGGCAGTAAGGTATGAACAGAGACATACTCCTTAGCCTAGTCTTATTATGGAAGATCTGATTGTATTCTCCTTAATATTATCCTTAGATTCTTGCGCGCCATACTCCAGGTTACATCGTTGTTTCAATTATTTTTCACAGTATGATAAAGGTCCAAATGTAAACTATCAAAATCATCAAATCGTATAAATCAACGAACTTTTTATACCTCGCACGTTTTCACCCTAGACAATGGTCTATGCCCTTGCTCTATCTTTTGATGCTGAAATTGTTAATTTATAACTAAAGTGCCAGAACGCAATAGTTTTATTTAATCGCCCTGTTTTTTGCTTAGCTCCCTTGTCTGTCCTATTTAATAGGGTCTAACAACAGTCGGTCATACGAATGGAAAAGCAACTATATTGGCCGCAGTGGTATGCTGCATGATATGCCCTCTGCTAATCGCCGTACCGTTTATATCAACGCCTTGCAAAGATGTCGAGCACTCTTGCCCTAAATGTGGGGCAGCAGTTGGGAAACACGAACTGCTTCATTGCTGAGAGAAGATTAATCATTTTTGGATGTTGCTTTAGCGAGGTTATTGATGTTAATGAATAGTTCTTACCCATAATTGTTATCAATGCATTCTTTTCTGTTTCTCTCCATCTGCAATATTTTGGGCTTGAAGTATCGTAATATGACATGTGAAACAACTTCTAGTAGTCTTACTGCTAAAAGTTCAAATTTTTGGGCCTTAAATCCTTCTTTTTCAATTAAAACATGATTATCAAAATACCAGAAACAGATACATCACCATGCAGTCTTGACATAAACTTACTAGAGATTTGCCGCTATGACTCTTCAGCTTTGCTTGGAGGGTGAGGGGACTTGGTGATATTGAGACTTTTGTTGGTATAAAAGGAGACTTGATATTCTTGTGATGTCATTGAATTATTGCTGGTGCTAGAGTCTCATCAATCAAAATTATGTCATTGTGGCTAATGGGCTATTGCCCCTTCCCTATCTACCTACTTTGTTCAAAAGAGAATGAGAAGAAAATGAAGCAGCAAATTCAAGATGGCGGGCGAAAAAATCACTTCAGTTTCTCAGCTAAATCTTTTATAATTCATATTCTCTGGTTCCAAATCTACATTAGTTTTAACAGATGCAAAGTACAAAAGGGTATATTTGCGCATCAGTTTTTTTAATTTCTTTTACCATTTTGAGTAACTTGCCCGTACATATACTGAAAATATGCGAAAGTCAGTTCAGCGAAATCAACGGCAGCTCCCTATCAGCGAACTTTGGTCTTGACGCTTAGCAGATCAATCGTTTATGGTATTTTCTTGTATGAAGAAGAAACCTGCGGCATCTGTAGCGATGACGGAATCCAAAGTATCTGTGGCAGCTTTTCAGATATCGGCGACAAGGCCAGTATCGGAATCGGAAGTAGCGGCGGCAGAACCAATGGCTTGTTCTAGCTACCGGGTTTGCTACAAAAATGAGTATCGAAACTTTAGATGTTTTCATCACCATTGCTTTCGTAACCAAACATTACTATAGGTACGTGATTGTGTCAGTGGTTTGTTAGCAATATTGTCTGTTTGGGGTTGCTATTCTTGCCAAAAAGTTGTTAAAAACCTAACAATGTTCACCTTATAAGTTTTTGGTTCCGCAAAAATTGGAGATGGCACGAAACAGCGGAAACATGGCACTCTTTTGAGTTCCAGACACCTGACTAAAACGAATGTGGCTCAGGCAAGTCGTAGTTATAGTTATTTCATTAATACAATTACGATAAACTCCAACAATTATGGTTTTCTCGTCACTATTATCATTAAATACCATAGCCGCCATCATAATCATCATATTGCATTTCAACGCAGGCCTAATCATCATTTTGTATCATCACCTCAAGAAAAAAGCATTGAAAAACAGTTTAACTGCACTTCATCCTTGTATTACCTTCTGTGTCTTCCGCTTCATCCATGTTCTCGTCTGCTTCATCGTTTTCTGCATTTTCTTGTTCTTCAGGCTCTTTGAGAACATCAAGAACCTTCTCTTCTTCGGTTGCTGCATAGAATTTTAATTAGGAATACATTTTTATATGTGTATTTGGAAATATAGGGTATTCTTCTTAGGGATTGTTAGCAAATTGTTAAAAACCTCACAATCTTTACGTTATAAGTTTTTGGTACCGCAAAATTTGATGATGGCACGAAATAGAAACGGATAATGACGACGGAATGATCGAACTCTGCACGTGCACCTTCATAAGTTGACTATCCCAGGATTGAGCCAGCTCACCAAGTCATAAACGTTCCTTCTATGTTGCTTATGAGCTATCTAAAATCTTCCTTCTCCATATACAGTGTTTATTCCTTCCCTAAAGGTGTATATGCCTACAAAGTCGTTTGGAGTTCTTACCGGCAACCATGCAATATTGAAAGTTAGCAAAGATACAAATGGGAAGGGAAACAACTTTTTTCTGAAACTGGGTAACTAAAACTTAGTAACTTATTTAGTATTCTTAAGATCAGAATTTGCGATAGGTGTACGTAAGAAAAACTGAAAAAATCTTCAGTCATTGAACTATTAGGGATTTCATATTGTACATTAGCATGAAAATAGAAACCGCCCTCACCTGGTGTTGCAACAGCAACACACACCAACAGAGCCAAGGCGGCAAACACAATGAGTTTCATTTTGCAGAGAATCTTCTCCCAGGACCTGCAATAGGAAAGGTCGCTAATATTGAATAATGAAACGAAAGAGACCAAATTTGTCAGTATTGAAGTGTTCTGTAATGTAAGATAAAATTTCTTTAAAGAACATAGAGAAACCAGTCAATTAAAACTGGCTACACTTTGAGGCCTGGTCCTGTTTAAATCATTATCTTTTTTAGATTAAACCTATTATAAAATAAAGAGCCATGCTTTGGCCTATGATAACTTGTGGTTCATGCAGTTCCTTCCGAGGTTGAAAGGTATTAACGTCCAGCATGAATGCAACAACGTAAATTAATTACACTTACCTCAATTTCACAAATTTGACGCTACAAGACAAGTGTTTTGACATTCGAGTAGAAAGTTTTTTATACTTTTTCTAGCCTAATTAACTTAATTGCCTAATTTTGCGGTTTATTATTGATGCCAAAAGCGCCTAGAACTACGGAGCAAAAATGTTGATTCGGATTTTTAAGGCGTTATTTGATTAAATGCCAGCCTCATTATCTACAGAATCTTAATTTGTTTCGTTTCGTTTTGGCACATTCTGTGATTCCGTGATTAGTTAGTTGCCTCGAGGCCCCAGCCTCGATTTCAATAGAAGATATTTCTTAGCTAGTCCCTTTATATTATCTGAATAAGTTTAAATTAACGTATAAAAAAGTGAATACCTAATTATCCTGAACATATCTCTACTTATTAGGTAACAGCCACTTTTCAGCAGAACGAAGTAGCTTGACGCGCCTTATCTCGTGAACAAACTAGCCACTCCCTCATCTTTTGCGGAACTTTTGTGTCTTCAAAAATAAACTTTTTGTACTGACGTGAATTTGTTAGTAACAACTACAGTATAAGATAACAACATTACAATCAGATTGCTTCGCTCTCATTGTGCTAAAGGGGTTTTCTCCGATCCGATTTCCGACAAAGTTTTTGAACCACTCTTATTTGCTGACAAATCTGAAAGTTTGCCGACGAAACATCCCTACATAGAAAAAAAACCCATCATGTCTATTTTAAAAGTTATTTCCAAGTAAGGTATCACACCCCCACTTCTCCCCGTAGCGACGGCCCTTGTCGCTAGCTTTGGTTACCCACAAATATTTAGGCAAGGGTCCCTTGTTTCGCGCCATGTTTGTCAGCCTCGGTACCACTAATGATGCCAATTACAGCCAAGGATATCCTGCTAAGTTTGTTCGACTTCTTATTTTTGAATTCATTGATTGCGTATAATTAAGAAGCTTGGGGGCGTTACTCAATTAACTAAACTTCCAGCTCATTTCAGCGACATGTTTTCTATTACCTACGTCATACTATCACTAGCGGAAAAACTATTCTCTTTCTGGAGGCACTCATACCATGCATGTATCGAGTAGGCGTGTAGAATGTTTACAAGACGATAAACATGCACAAATTGATTTAACAGCCATTCAATAGCTCTGCTTAAACATTTCTTTCATTTTCAACGATCCTCACTAATTAGACCTTGCTGGGTAAGTGGTTTTTATCGTGCATCCATAGAATGCCCCCATTTAAAAGCGTCCGCAAAAATTGTGAGACTGCTTTTTCTTCCAATTTCGCAATAATGCCAAAGTCTGTTTGGCGTATTTACCCAAAGAAAACCTATCGAAATTATTTTGTAAACCATTCGTAATTTTGACTTAGGCTCCAGACAGACGTATTCGTTGCTCAACCCTTCCACCGTTCCCTTTCCTCCCCGGTCCCCTCCAAGCAATGTTGTTTGTTGAGATTTGGTGAAATAGTTGCGAATCATGTGTGCAAAGACCGTATACAATAACAAGATCTCAACAACATTGCTTGAAGGGGGAGGGGATCAAATAAAATTCTACTATATTAATGTAAATAAATTTGTCCTGATTTTATCACTGGTCTCAATATATTTTGTGAAGGATTGTAGGCTAATTGCCAAATGGGCCGAGGGAACCATAAATTTTTAGGGCATTTTTTACGTCACCAACTTGGAAGCAATAGCTATGTTTACTAAGATAAGCGCAGTTTACATAATTTTGCAAGCATTGCTTTTCTAGTTTATATTAAGGAATGCAACAATGCAACACCCAAATGCGATAACTTTTATAATTCTTCAATTTTTAGCTTTCATCATGACATTTTCATCCTCAAAAATGCGTGTTCGATCACAACAACGTTACGTTTCTGTTCATGAGCAAAAAAATCTTGATAAATTCAGTAGTTCAAATTGTGAAGTGATGAGTTGTTAACTAGGAAGTATTTGCAGTACAATTCGATTTGTTAACTTTAACTTAAACCTCAAAATCACATAACTGTAATAATCAAACTACACAAATAAAATCATTATTAATTACATTGACCACTTAAAACCATACATTATTGTTTTTTAGCTATTTTCAACAAGAAAAGCATTCATGGATAAGTAAATAGTGAAAATAAACAAAGCTAAGAAAGATTCAAATTCTGACATTTGTTCATCACAAGCATTTTGTTGGACAAGCTAACTTCGCTAGGCCCAAATTGAATTACCATTTCAAAAACCTTGGAAACTACACCCAAACTGGATGCGCCCTTCTGTTGAAATTTAACTCACACCCAAAAATGGAATCAACTTTTCTATGATCAATTAGGTATTAAGTTCATAATCAATCAATCTATCTGCAGAAGTGCTTGCATTTTAAACTTTTTCCGACGTTTTTGAATCTATAAATGATGATGTTTATGTCACTGTTCACCTAATATAAAAAATGTTCTGATATTTACGCAAAGTGCGAACAGTTATTTCTAGCACCTGGACTTTACCAATACTTGTTTTCCGTGACCAAAAACCACAGCTTTGCATGCATATCTTTGAAAACTGAAAACCAAATGTTTTACAATCTCAAAGCTAATAAATATAAAATGCCACTTTACAAAAATCTGCATATTTGAGGTAATGATAGATAAATAACAATTACAGGTTATGTCCATGTTATTAATGAAAAAAATCTTTTTACAATCGAACTTGCAGGTATACTAATTTGAGCATCCAATTAAACCTCAATGGAGAAAGTGATTTTTGAAGTATGGCTGCTTTTCTTGTTTTCAATTATATAAATCTCGCAAAAGAATTGGCTCTGCTAATGCATATAATATTTATTACATATGATTGCCTGTATGATATCTATCAAATTTTATTACAATTGCTAAGTTTTTAATTTAGATGATACGTCACCTTTTACAGATACTCGTCACATGTCTATCGCTATGTTATCCGAATTTTCATCATTAATATCGTAATTCGTGACAATGGTCAAAATGACCTCAATTGAATTGGAAAAACAGAACATGAAAACTTTTGTTTTATTGAAATGTAAAGCAAAAATACTTCATCCGTGCAATTAAAACTGGGTTTTAAACTCCCGGAGGTTTCTAAACTGATCTACAGAAATTACGCATTTTAAGACTGGAAGAGAAATTGTTCATTCATTTAGAATATATCCTAACTTTTTTTTATTTCTTTGCCTACTTTGCAAGGGAATTAGAGCCACTATTACAAACGATTCCAAGGAAAAATATTATTGGAATTATTCAAATGGTTATCAATATTTTTTAAAACAACTGCTAGAGTAGGTTCAAAGGGGGGAGGGGGAGTTCATTGATCTAAAATCTGAGTAACGAGGTTTTATTGATCATTAAAACTAGAAAATACATTTTTTCCAAGTTTGATCATTTCTTGGGTTTGAAAAGCTCCATTGTCCATTGTGTTTCCTGGGAAACGCTGGGTTTAGCTCAGTGTCCTAGGCAAAACCCATATCTACTTAAAAATATACTGTATTGTAAAATTTTTGAAGCAAATTAGAACTCTCACCTATATCATAATGAAATCTTATATTTTTATCAACTGTCGTCGAATTACAATGAATTTGAGTTTGAATTTGAATTTGGCAGTCTAATGCATGTTTCATTGGCTCATAAAGCCTATTACAAAATTTGAGAGCGTGGCAATGTTTTCATGGTTTTTTAACTATCACAGGTTTTTGCGGTCTGATTTGGTCCGTACAATATATAACTTGAAAACAGAAATTCAAAACATCCTTGTACACAAACGTAAAAGTCACTTGTTCACTCAAAGGTCCATTTGATGTGCTCTTTTTTTGTCCAGTCGCCACAATATTAAGGTGCCTAGTCTTTGGTTTAAAGTTTGTTTCTTTAGCTGTTACATACGATGTTTGTTGAATTAACTTGAATTTTTGCAGAGATGGCGCCACCTCCCGAAAAATGGGCGGAGGACTACATGAGGAAGATCCAGAGGGACTGGATGTGGAGGAGGAGGGGGAGGAGGATTAGTAGGAAAACAAATGGGGAGGATCTTAAGGTACAAACATTAGCACTTTTGGCGACCATGCCCTTTTTAAGAATAGTAAGGCAAATTCAACTAAGACAATGCGAGAAACCATAAGTCGACCCCGTTTCAACCACGCCTCTCTTAACACAGTGAAATGTTTGATCGAGGGAAGTTTATTGAAAGATCCTAGAAAGCTTTAGAAGAAAAAGTAGAGAAACGATTTCCTAGTATAGGTGAAGTGATTTTTCATTGTCTGTCACCTTACACCGACCCCCTCCCAATAACTTCTCAACTCACTTATGCAAGTTAGAAAATCGACCTTAGCGAGTATTTAGGGTTCTCCCCGTGGAGCCCCCTATGTTTTTATGGACTACCACCATTAAATTAATATGGTGGCTGCTATTTTCTACGGTCCTTATGTACGGTTAATGCTGAGTTGGTATGCCACATATGGATCAATCAATATATTTTACGTTTAATATTCATTATGCTAGGTGTTCACGATGTTCATCTAGTATTTTATTCTGGCAATGATGGCTCAGCTTGTCTTCATTATCGTTTCTCCCGATGTTCAGCCATCACTATTCAGGGGCGGATCCAGCAAAAAACCTGACTGAGTTCCAGGCGAAGGCTAGGGTCTTTCAGATAATGCATTGATAATTGTGCCTAGAACAACATTACTACTCATATTTATCCAGGGAGGGGTAGGAACACACCACTCACTAAATCTAGATTCTAAAGGGGGGAGGGAGGGGTAGGTACTCACCACTCACTGAATCTAGATTCTAAAGGGGGAGGGAGGGGTAGGTACTCACCACTCACTAAATCTAGATTCTAAAGGTGGTAGGGAGGGGTAGGTACTCACCACTCACTAAATCTAGATTCTAAAGGGGGAGGGAGGGGTAGGTACACACCACTCACTAAATCTAGATTCTAAAGGGGGAGGGAGGGGTAGGTACTCACCACTCACTAAATCTAGATTCTAAAGGGGGAGGAAGGGGTAGGTACACACCACTCACTAAATCTAGATTCTAAAGGGGGGAGGGAGGAGTAGGTACTCACCAC